CCACCCTTCGCCTTTACCTAGTCCATGTGGTACTGGATGGGCTTTCTCTAAACCCTGGCTACATGGGTGGGTGTGTGACCCAGGTCTGGCTCATCAGGGATGGCCACACCCCCATGTTGAACTAATCAGAGTAAATCCTCAGGATTTAGCTGGAACTATTAGGAAAAAGCGTGCTTTTCTCCCTGGGGTTGCACTACTTGGTAGAATACATTTAGAATAGCAGAGGCCATCTTGGCATCATGTGAAAAGAGCCCATCTGGGAATGAAGCCAAACAGAGGAGTCCAGAGACAGCACACTGGTTAATCTTATGTGTCAATTTGGCTGGGCCACAGTACCCAGATATTTGGTCAAACACATCTAGATGTTGCTGTGAAGGCATTTTCTAGATAAGATTAACATTTAAATCAGTAGACTTATCCTCCATCATGTGGGTGGGCCTCATCCAATCAGCTGACAGCTTTAAAAGAAAAAAGGCTGATGTCCTCCTAGGAAGAGAGCATTCTGCCAATGCACTGGCTTTGGCCCGGAGCTGCAATATCAGCTCTTCCCTTGCCTCCAGCTTGCTGGCCTGCCTTGCAGGGTTTGGCCCTGCTGGCCTCCACGATTGTGTGAGCCAATTCCTTAAAATAAAAATCTCTCTCTTGCTTCAATTTCTCTGGAGACCCCTGACTAACACAGATGGCCAGAATAGATACATCATTTTAATATCTTGATCCAGCCAAACCTGACATCATATACTCCTGGGTTTTTCATTTAACTGGTCCTCTTCAATTGGGTTTCTGTCACTTGGAACCCAAAGGGTCCATTTCAAGAGGGTGTGCTCACCTTGACTGAAATCTTGTCTATGCGGGGCTCAGTGCCCTCCTTGGACAGGTGACCTAGGCCTTAAAGCGTGCATAGGAGTTCACATAGGCATGAGGAGGACAGGGTAGAGTGAACACGTGCAAAGACACAGAGAAGCGATGGAGCATGGCAGGCCAAGGAAACCAGAGAGGTTGATGTGGCAGAAGCAGAGGAAGTTATTTGGCAAGAACCGGGGCTGGAGAAATGCTCTGGGGGCCAGAGGATATAGAACTTTGAATGCCAGGCTGAGGGGCACACGAAATCAGATTCTGTACATCCTTCCTTTCTCATCTACTTGAAGCAGTATAGCACTGTGGTTAATGACATGGATTCTGGAGCAGCCCTGCCTGGTCTATACTACTTACAATTTAACCTCAGGTATGTTACTTAACGCCTTGGTGCCTCAGTTTCCCCAATGAAGATAACAGCATTGTCTACCTCTAAGGATTCCATGTAATGACTAAATGAGTCACCACACATTTAGAGTTCAGCATAGTGCTTAACAAGTAGTAAGCACCTAGTAGTTAGTAACAATCTTATTCCTACGAAGGCCAGTGGCAGGTTCCTGGGCTGCAAACCCCAGGGCCCAGAAAGACAATTGCAGTCCTCTACCCTCTCCTTGCATCAGGCAGCCCCACCTGCCTTCCCCAGGTGGCTGCTTTTGCCCGCTGTAGTTCTCACAGAGCCATGGCCAGCCTGGCCTCCAGAAAGCTGGAATTGTCATTGCAGTGACTGGAAAGAACAGGGCTCTCAGCTCTGGAAACAGATTCTTATCCACATCTTGGTCTTGGGAATTAGGCTGGAACTGGGTGAGAACAAGCTTCCCAGCCACACAGGCCCAAAGAGAGTCACAGAAGCACAGAGGCCATAAACTCAGCCCTTTCCCCTCTGACTCCCAGATACGGAGGCGAGAGGCTCAAAGCCAGCTCGGCAAACCCTGGGGACTAGCTGTGGAAAGCAACTTCAATGAGATGCGTAGAATGCCAAAAGTTCAGAGTCAAAGGGCATCCTCGGATTCCCAGGCTTTTTAGGTTTGTGTTTCTACTGGGTGGTGCAGAGAAAGGGCACCTCTGCCACCAACTTAGGGGGATCCTAACAAATCATTCCCTCCTTGGGTTCAATTTTCCTGAGCATCCAGTGATGGGGGGTTGCGGGTCTAGGGTGGCAAACAAGGCTCATCTTGTAGGTCAGATTTGATGAGTGGTAAGTGGCTGCCTCGCTGGCTAGTTAGACAGTGCTGGCCCATGGGCTGTCCTTGCCCTAGTTTTAGCCCTAAAATGCTCAGTCTTGGTCACTGAAGTGAATCCTGATGTCTGGTTTAGTCCTCCCACGGACTCCGGCCCCAGCAGTTTTCCTGAAGCTCCCAAAGTGAGTCAGGAGCTGATTTAGATTCTCTATACAAATTCTTTGGCCCTTTCCCTTCTTACCTGGTAAATGTCAGTGTCTGCTGGAGAGAACTATGCACTCCGGGTTCAATATGGGACAACTTTCTAATGAGAGTTCATTTCCTTGATGACAATGAAGAAAGCGTCATAAAAAAGGAAGCTGAAGCCCATCATAGCCTACACACTTTGCCAGCCCTGGGTGACCTCCTGGCTCAGGGCTATGCCATCTACCTTCCCCACCTCCTCTCAGTCCCCCTTTCTGCCCTGCCCAGTGCTCATCCTCCCTGCCCTTCTCCTCTAATCAGGAGCTCAAAGCCTCTTTATCGTCTCACTCACCAAGTCCCGATAAGCGCTGATAAACTCATTCACTCCAGCAGCAGGTGAGTTTCCAATGGTAAGATTCCAGGCACTGACCAGCTGAAGGCCTCAGTAGAAGTTTTTGCAGGTCACAAGAGGAGGTGGCCACCACCTAACAGCAGAACATTCACTGTTCTTCAGTGGTGGGGAGAAGTGTTCTGCCAACAGTCTGGAATTTGAGACATTCCGATGAGAGCTGCCTTGCCCTCTAGAGCATATGGTGGAAATAGGAGCGCATAGTCTCTGGGACCAGAGTGCCTGGCTGGAATCACAGCTCTACTACTTCCTCACCGTGTGACCTGGGGCAAGTGACCTCACCTCTTTGTATATCAACTGTCTCTTAATAAAATGAGGTTGTTGATAATAACAGTATCTGTCTTATGGAGTTGTTGATGAGATGTATGAGCTGAGTGCTTAGAATAATACCTGGCACTTAGTCAATGCCATCTGAGTGTGGGCTGCTATCACCAGGCCCCTGAGAGGGCCAGGCATGAAGCCCAGGTGTTGCAGTTTGAAAGGGCAAACAAGGGTCTAGCCTACACCAGGCACATGGGTGTCAGCAAAGAGGAGCTCCCTTCTCTTACCTGGGTTTCAGAATTTTCTCCAGAGCCAGGTTAGGTGCTAGACAGGAAAACACAGGGAACTCGTCTGTGTGGCTGCTGTCTCTGAGTGCCAGCAATTTGAAGGTCACTGTGGCTTTGTCTTCATCAAGCACATCAGAAAGCCTGGCAGTTTCTCTGCTCCCTCTCTCTGTCCCTAGCCACTGATTTCTTTCAGTCCCACATGGTAGTCACTGCATTTTGGTCTGAGCGACTCTCCCCTGCCATGATTCTGGGAGGTGTTGGAAGTCTGTCTGTTTTATCACCAAGTGCTTGGGATCAAGCTTGGTTTGCATCCACTGTGGGATGAGGTGGGGGATTCAGCTGAACATAGTGCTGAACCTGGGGGATGGGCAGTGGGTGTGTCCCAGAGGGGCTCTCTGCAGTGTCCTACCTCAGGAAGGGGTTTCCTGTGGTCCCCTTACACAGAGGCACTCTCCCTCAGACTGCCTTCTCTTGGGACCCCAGTCCACCTCCTTTCCATACCCAGGGTTTGGTGGGGGATGAGGGACGTCGTAGTCATCCTCTGGTAGGGGTGGTGATCATGACTTGCTGCCCACGGTCCTTGCTGCCTCAGCAGCCATGTTGGGTGGGATGTGACCCCATCCCCGGCCACAGTTGATTGGACCTGTGACTGGTCCCTAACTCAAGGGTCATCCACTCAGGTGATTTGGCCCGATCAGATTCTACTACAGGAATGTGGGATGGGGAAACAGAGATGGGGTCAGGCGAGTCTTGCTGACACAGCCCCACTCTCTTCCTCAGAGCTAGCAGCCCTGGTTCCTGTCACCAGAAGAATTTTGACGTTCCGCCTGCTGGGCCCTCGAAGCCTTCCTGCCTCAAGCCCTTGCATCTCCTACGAGCTTCTGTGGGATGCATTTCCACGGAGGGAGTGGACCCCGCCATCTCCCTCCCTCACATGCTGTCGTGGTGACCTCAGGAAAAGCATTGGTGGCCGTGATGTTCTTGAAAGAAGCTGGGGCGCCCCATATCTTGAGGTGACCCTTCGGGGCTCCTGCCTTCAGCTCTGCTTTCTGGAATTGAGCAAAATCCCTGCCACACAGACTTCATCTCCTACCATCTCTGCTGAGAAGACACTGAAGCCCAGTCCAGCCCATCTCCTGCTTTCTCAACCCTCTGCTCCCAGCCAGCCCTGGCCATTTGATCACATCCTTCATGTCAGACCCAGATCACAGCACTGGGATCTGTCTATCACCCTTGAATAGGGGCCACAAACCTTATGGTTTTTTGATTTGCAGCCTTGAATCTGCTGCCCAAATCCATACTCACTCCTATAAGCTGGAAAAGAAATGTTTATTTTATTAATGAGCTCAGAGTAAGGTATGCAGTGACAATCCTATCAGCAATTAGAGCAGAGGCCAGAGGAGAGGGATGGAGAGAGAGAGACTCCAGGTGGGGTGTTATTAGGGTTCAAGGAAGGAGTCCCCCAGGGCTGGGAGAGACCGAATTCACTGGGCCAGAGGAAAGGAATGAGAGTCTGGATCCCTGAGATCTTCTCCCAAACGGCTGGCTGCTCCCTCTCCTCCATGTTGGCCTTCATCAGAGTGGCCCAAGCTGTTCCTTATCTGACTCTGGTTCAGGGCCAAAGGGAGTTTGAGATTCCTGGGTGCTAGGTTCAGGTCCCAGGGATGCCGTCCGGTGTGTGCAGTGTGGCCTCTCTCAAGGCTGGTCTCAAGGCTTTGTGTTCAGGAGGTGGGGCCAGAGCTCACTGTTTTCTAGGGGTGAATTTGGTTTCCCCTTTTGGACTTCAGAAGAAGGTCCTGTAGGGAAGCAGAAACAGCCCAGGTGGGTGCAGGCCTTGTGGGTGCACACTCAGCCCAGCCAGACCAAGGCCCCACAACGGGGAGCACCCACCCTGGCAGTATGAGGCTCTGCCAACCTTTGGAGACCCCTCTGGGTGCAGGCCCCAAGTGGCTACACACCAGCCACAGCCACAGCACACAGGAGGCCAGGGAGAAAGTGGGAGGGACACCTGGGATGCGGGGAGGAGGAGACTAGGAGGAACAGGGGCAACAGTCCCTTGCAAAAGGCAAGTGACAGAAAACATAGGGCCACGCGGGCCACCCCAGAAGCCATGGTCTAGCTGGCCATCTGTCTTGGGAGCATGAGGCCCTAATGTTTTGGGAAAGTTGTAACAGAAAAGTCAAGTCCAGGCTTGGGTCTGCCCCAGGTGCTGCCATCTGTGGCTTCAGGCCACACCAAACACCAGTTTCACAGCCACCTGCCAGCTGTGTCCACGGGCACATCCCTATCACAGGGTGAGAAACACATCCCACAGCTGGGCTCCACGGTATATCCCACAGATAGAGCCCACAGCCAAGGAACGGAAAAGGCAGAGAAGACAGTTTGTTCTGAGCACGGCTCAGGCCATGACAGGGCACAACAGGACATGAGCAACTCTAATCCACCAACCCTGGTTCTTTGGACCAGCCTTCAAAACCTCTTAATAGCCCTGGTTGTGGCCAAGTGTGGGGGCCAGGGTGGAGCAGGAGCTCCCAGCAGGCTGGCATTCACAGGAAGGGGAATTTTCACATTCTGTTGAGGACATCTCTTGGGGGCAATTCCAGTCAGGCTTCCTGTGGGTTCCTTCAGCCCCACATGCCTGGTTTGAGGCATTGTCTGTGTCCCACAGAGAATGGTGCCCAAGGCTTCATCCTGCTCATTTGGGTGCTGCTTGGGACCCAAAGCAGGTCCCAGGGCCGTGATGAGTCAGGACACCTGGGTCCCAAGCAAGTACTACAGACTGGGCTCTGTAGAGGGAGGGGAGGGTTTTGAGTCTGAGGAATTCCACTGTGGCCAATAGCAGACCCTGGGCAGCACTTCAGGGATGGCGCCTTCTGTACTCTCCAGACACCAGTCCAAAGAACCTGCTGACAGCGTGGGCAGCAGATGGCCACTGCACACAGCAGGGACAGACAGGGCCCTCTGGCCCGCCTGCCTATTCACCGTGGGCTCCAGCTGCAGGAGGAACCCGTGTCTGTGCACGGCAGCACGGTCTTCAAGGAGCTTTCGGACCGGCTGGGGGCTTTCTGCTGCGGAGGAGGGAAGAGAAGCACTATACACACAGAGCAGAGCAAGAAACACAAAACAGGCTTAGTTACTCCCAGGCAGAGCTCCCTGGGGCCTCTCCTTTCACTGGGCTCCTGCCTCGGGTTCTGCCTAGCCCCTGGGTTCCAGAATTAGGAGCTGCTGGACCCTGGTTTCTCCAAGACACGTGTAGAGCTCAGACTCTGCTGGCCACGGGGAGCAAGCAGGCCCAGCCATGACAGGGAGGCAGGGCGTGGTCAGTGAGTGGGTGAGTGGTGGGTGGGTGAGGGCTGGGGAGGTGATGGGATGAGGTGAGGATGGAGTTGAGACACCACACAGAGGCAGAGAAACAGAGAAAGGCAGACGGATAAGAACGGATGCAGAACGACAAGGACAGAGGAGCAGGGACTCAGAGACAGGGATGGAGAGAAACAGGAAGAAAGAATAGGAGACACTAAGAGAGAAAGGGGACTGGGATGAAGGGGAAAGAGGGGAGCCGATAAGAGGTTGACAGGAAGGAAGGAGAGGGCAAAAGACAGAAAGACAGAGAGGGAGGAGAAGAGAAGACAGAGAGATCCACAGGACAGAGACAGACACACAGGGAATCACAGAGAGACAGACTAGGCCAAAGCTTCCTGGAGATCCCACAAGGTGGGGACAAAAGCCTGTGGCCCTGGCTGCCTAGAGGCACAGTATGAGTGAATGCAGTTAGACATCAGGAAGACCTTCCAGAGAGTGAAGGATGAACACAGACACCTTCTAACCATCTACATATGGGGTAGGGGATAGAGTTCTGAGTGGGGAATAACAATCCTGAGTCTTTGTCCCAACATCACTGCTTACTCGGTCAATCCTGAGTCTTTGTCCCAACATCACTGCTTACTCGGTCTAAGACCTCATGCCTCAGTTCCCCAGAGTAGAGAAGAATTTGGACAAGACTGCCCGGGAGGCAGCTCAGACACTGCTTAAGGACAATGACTTAGGAGCCCAGGAGTTTTCTAGGAGCTCTGGCTATGAGAAGCTGTGTGCTTGGGCCATTCCTTCAGGCTGGGAGAAGGCTGGGGGTGGGCTGGAGAAAGGTGGCTGAGATTCTGGAGAAGGAAGAGGAGGTTTCAGTCTAGGTGGCTGCACATACTTACAGCTCATCATCATACTCCTTTGGGGGGCAAACGGCAACCACAAGGTCGATCCAGTCCTGTGGGGAGAAGCCGTGTGACTCTGGGGCACACTCAGTTGGATGGTGTGTCTGCTCCAGCACTCCATCCCCATTTCTGGGCCCCATGGTCCAGGATCAGCCAGCCTGCACCTTCTTCCCATGGGCACACATGGGCCCCACTGTGGACTGCCATGGTCTGAGGATGTTTCTAGTCTCTGAGGCTTCGGGACTATAGAAGCCAGGGCTGCAAGGCGCTTGAATGACACTCAGCTCCCAAATGTCAATCTATGGACTGGGGACAGGCAGCAACCTCAGAATCACTTGGGGGAACTTCTTAAAAGTGTAGACTTATAGACTTGGCCCCTAGAAGTCAGGGGTGAGTCCTGGGAAATAGTACTTTTAACAACCTCTCTAGGTAATTCCGATGCACTTTCTGATGCACAACCAAGTGGGGGACTTCTGGCCCAGCTTTTTGATCCTAACACTTGAATCCCTTTTACTGCCATCCTTGCCCCTCATTCCCTCCTTGGCTTGGATGTAGCCCCTGAAAAGTATCAGAAGTATCACTGGGCCCCTCTACCATGAGCTAGTTCCTAATATTGAGCTGAAATCTCTCTCTCTCCCCCTCAGGACTTCCCTCCATCCAATCCAGATCTTCCCTCAAGAATCAGAGAGAACACTTCTGCTCCCTCTGCCCTAATGCAGACCTTCAGATAATCAAAGATAGTCATTATGTTACCCGTGAGTCTTCTCTTCTCCACATCCCTTCATGTGGGTCCCAGGACCATCTGGTTAGCTTCCTCAGCACTGAACTTAATACCTCAGGCTCGGCTGCCTGCATACAATTGCACAGGTTGTGCATTGCACAACGTGAGCAGGCACCATTCACACTACAGTCTGTAAAAGGGCACCCCCTCAGGCTGTGCAGTGCACAGCCTGGGCAACCTTATGCAGTGGCTCTGACCCAGGTGTGTGTCTAATGATCGCAGAGCAGATTCCCACTAGCCCCTCCTTCATCCTGGGTTCTCTGCTTTTGTTAATGCTTTCTGGTAGCCCCCAGAATTCTCTTGATTCTTGTTCAGTGTGCACTTAGAAAATACCTTAAGTCTTTTTCTTGGGTGACCTGTCATGCCCTGGCTTCTGGAGTCTGTTTGAGCCACTGGCTTTTTGGTTCCAAGGTCAGGAATTGACATTTATTTTTCTGAATCCCATCTTGTCAGATTTAAACCACTGGCTGGATGGGGTATGTGGGTGTCACCAAAGTGTTACCTGGACCCCAGATGCCTGCCCTGGGATGCAGCATCTGATTGTGAGGCCTGGCTGCAGAGCCCAGGGTTTGAGGCAGGCAGGTGAGGGAGGAAAGGAGGGAGGGGGCTTATTCTTACCCCACCCTGATTCCAGGCCTTCTGCAGGGCAGCCTCAGCCTCCGCCAGGGTGTAGTCTGTCACAGTCTTGCCATTGACTGCCATGATCTCGTCCCCTTTCACAATGCCACCTGCAGGCAGATGAGGCTGATTGGCCAACAGGGCTGTATGTGACGCGTGCCTGGCCCAGGGCTTGGCAAAGAGGGGTCATTGCTGGACCACAGAAGATACCTGAACCTGGGTTCTGAAAGGTCATGTGGACTCAGAAAGCATGAGGGGAAACTAGCCACCTGGTTAGTGGCTAGTCAAAGGGCATTTCGTCCCTATCCCATCCATATCCCCTTACCCTAGCTCCAGAGAACCGGGACATCATTGATGATGAGCCTCTGTTACCACAGAGGGAGACAGACCTGCATTTCCAGCACAGTATGAGGCCTAAGTCAATTCTGCCAGCCGGCCCTCCCCATTGCCCAGTCACACTGGCCTCTTCAGGTCCCTGAGCTGCCACTGCTCTCTCCTGCCCCAGAGACTTCATGTCGCTGTTCCCCACCTTGCTTTCTCTTCTTCTAGGTCTGAGAGGAAATGTCAGAAGGGGCTTCTCTGACCCCCACTCAGTCGAAGGTAGATTTTGCCTGTTCTCTCATAGCATCCCAGTCTTTTCTTATTTGGCATTTTCCACAATTTGTAATCATTAATCTGTTTGTTTACTTGTTTACTGATGGTCTCTCCCACCACGCTGTCAGCTCCACGTGGGCAGGGATTGTCTTTCTGGTTCACCATAGTATCCCCAGCACTTAACATAATGCCCGACACAAAATAGGACCTCAGTAGATATTTGCTGAATAAATGAATGCTGTAATAAGGTGCTCCTGGAAGAGATGCCTGGGATCTAATACTTTTGGAGAAAGCTGAGTTATAAGCTGAACAGAGCTACCCACTGTCAGTCTTTAATGTGCTAACATGCACTGCGGCTTTCCAACAGGTAGACAGATTGTGTGTCGTTTTCCACACCTCTTCGACATCAGAGCCCTTTTTGGAGGAATTTCTCCCAGTCCTAATGTCCACAGAACATTCTCCAGGTCACATTGAAATAGATCACCCAGGAGACTTGTGGGCATGAAGGCCCATAGGAATGTGGTGTACGATACTGACAATGGCGGCCATGGAGGCTTAAAACACGTGCTCCTAGGAAAGTCATCAGTGACTGGTTGTGTTCAAAGCGGTGCAAGACCAAACCATAGAAAGCAGTTGCCTCTGTGCAGGACAAGTGGGGATGGGTGACTTTCACCTTTTCATTTTGTACAAATCCAAGACAGAGTCTCAGGGGTAATAAGGCAGTGGTTGGGTTGGGGCTTTATAAGTGGGAAGGACCCAGGAGAGTCACCCATCCATCCTGGTCCCCTCTCTCTGCTAGACACAGCAGGCAGGTATCACAGAAATGTCACCAGGTGACAAAGAAATGAAGACAGAAGAAGAAGGGTGGGCCTGGGTGAGCACTGATGGGTTGGGGCAGCTGCCCAGCTGGGCAGGACCCCCTTCTATGACTGAAATGAAAGCTTAGAGTATGAAGTCACTGAGGGCATGGGTGTATAGTTGGACTTGTACCCAGGGCTCCCAATGCCCATACCTCACCTTAGTAACCCACAGAGGCCTGGTTGCCAGCCCCCAAGGGCTTTTTCCCCTGTTTCCTGCCCCTTACCTCTTACCACCTCCATTCTACCTCCTACAGCTTGTGGTACAGCCTGGCTCCAGCCTAGGACTGCCTGGAAGGGATCTGCTCATAGGATCCCCCACTCTGGCCTGGGAAGGTAAGAGGCCTGGGGCTCCTCCTCCAAGGGCACCTACATCTCCACAAATGGCCACAAAGGACTCAGGAGCTTCCTTGACACGGAAGAAGAAATCACCTTCTTCTTCAGACACTGACTGGTGAAGGAGTGATGGTTTGAAGCAAGAGACTGTGCCTGGGGTCTGCAAAGGTTTCACTCATCAGCAGAGGGTGTTTTTGTAGATAAGGGATAAAGAACAAAACAAAGTGAGAAGAAAGACACAGGGTATGGGGGCCTCTGGCCCTCTGGGAAGGGACAAGGCTGCAGAAGACCTCCGACAGAGGTGGCACTTGTGCTGGACAGTAAAGCAAAATGACCAAACTGCCTGAATTAAATCCTGCCTATGCCTTCTCCTGGCTGTGGGTCCATGAACAAATACTTTAACCTCTCTGAGCCTCAGTTTCCTCAGCTGTAAAATGAGAATAATTACAGAACCTGCTTTCAGGGTTGTTGTGAGGATTAAGTGAGTTAATATCCATGAAACGCTCAGACACAGGGCTGTAAGCCAGATGAATATTTTCTGGCACAAATAGCTTCTGGCTAGTTCTGGCCAAATGTTTGGCTCTTACCGCCACTGAAAGGACAGGTAAGGTTTTAGGGGTTTCCACGTACTGCTCCTCTTCCTCAAAACCCCTTTCTCTCCTTCGTAAGGCTGACATTGACTAATGCTCAGCTCACAGTTCGCCCTTCTGAGGAGCGCTCCGGGCCTCCCACTTCCTCTTGGTGGGTTAGGGGCCCCTCAGAGTCCCCACAGCTTCCCTCCGCTCTGAGTTCCCTGTCAGCCCTTAGCAGACCATGCTGTGACTTTCAGTATGTGGCAATTCTAAGCCCGTCTCCAACCCTGGCTGGGGACTGCTGAGGGCACGGTGGCATCTGGCGTGGCTGTGTACTCACAGGTCCCGGCACCATCCCATACCCCCAGGGATTGGACAGGCAGTCGGATGGATGGATCCGAGTGGGAGGGCATCTCTCCAGCAACCGTCAGCCCACTCCAAGTGGTCACCTGTTTGCTTTCCTGGAGGGCCCCATCTAATCTCTGTTCCAGGAACAGAAAGCTGTTCCTGGAAATCAGTCACAAGATGGTGGAGGGAGGCTGCGGACACCAAGAGGAAAGTATCATCCCCACACCTGGGTGCGGCTGGTCCCCACTCACCGTGCCGCTCAGCAGCTCCCCCCTCGTACACAGCAGAAACAACCACCTTCCCAATGGGGGAGTCCACACCGCCTTCCAGGGCCAGGTCTAAGGATCTCTCCTGGTTAGAGGAAAACAGACCTTAGGGAGCCAAGCAGACAGCAGCCTGTGGACCCCTGGGCACCAAGGAGTCTCTTGACAGAGCCACAGTAAGAGCGGGAGAAGCCATGGGGCCACCAGCAGTGCCATCAGGAGAAAACGTGGCCTCGGTGCCAAGTGGGACCTGGGTATGTGGCCCTACAACAGAGGGGCATCTCCATAAGAGAGGGGAGGACAGTGGGGACCTGAGAGGCCACCCAGGAGTGACCTTGAGAGTAGAAGCAGGGAACCAAGGCAGGAGGGGCAGGCGCAGAGAGGGATGGCGGCCCACCGGCCTCCACACGCCCAGGTACCTTCTTAATGCGTAGGAGCCGGACGTCCTTCCCCATGATCTGCTCTGGGGTGAACTACAGGGAAAAAGACAGTGGGAAGCTTTGAGCTGGCCTGAAGGATGGCACTGGGGGTAGGGCTGGAAGAGGAATCCAGGCACCTATGGGACACTGGGCCCCACAGAGCACATGGGCAAGGGGACCGTGCCCAGCCCCACCCCTACTGGTCTTCAACTGGGGGTCCCAGGCCCCATGGGGACAGTGGACACACACACATGTATGTGCACCGTACAGTTCACACTGGAATGCCCTTTGGAAGGAACCTTCGTGGGAAGAGCAGCTGTGGCATCATGGGGCTCCTCTGTGCCCCACCTCATCCCAGGACCCCGGGGCCCAGAATGCACCACTATCAAACACTCTAACCCCACCCTGCCCTGTTCCTGGGGTTTCTCCCCCAGGAGAGAAGAGTCATCTCTTACCATGGAGTAGGGGTCGAAGCCTTCCTCATATTTCCGAAAATCCTGGAAGCAAAGGGAGGGCCTTAGGGCAACAGAGCAGAGGCCCTTGAGGATCAGGGCCAAGGAGGAGTGGGGTGAATGGTCAGAATCCAAGGGTCAGAAGTGAGGGGTAGGGCCGGGGAAGGCAGGGCCAGGGTGGGGGATGCAGACAGGAGGCTGGCAACCCCAGCAGCCAGGGCACTCCTGTGCAGGGACAAGCAGGAGGCTGAGGAAGACTTTAGAGGATCTTGACCTTGCTCTGCTTCAGCGGCACAAGCGTCAGGGGCTGCAGGGGCACCAGTGACCTCTAGATGGTCTGGAGAGGCAGCGTCTGCCTTGCTGAAAGTCTCAGCCCAGCCTCAAGTCCTTTAGGCCCCACCTCATCTCTTCCAAGTCTCCACTGGAGCAGGCCCAGACCCTGGGGGATGAAGCCCAGGGTGTCTCCACCCAGTGCTCTGACCCCACAGGAGGGGACCATGCAGCTCAAGAGAAGGCTGTTCCTGGAAATCAGCCACAAGATGGTGGAGGGAGGCCATGGACACCAAGAGGAAAGCAGGTGGTGTCAAGAAGCTGTGCTTGCCTGGGGCTTGGCAGTGTTCTCATGTAATGCTCACCTAGAAGGCAAGAGGCCTCCCCAGATTCTGGGGAGCGCAGGTTGGCCCTTTAGCTAGGGGAGAAGGGAGGACACACAGCTCAGGGGACCTGGCTTGATGGGGGATGCTGTGGGGACAATGGCTCCAGGCTGTAGAAACAAGACAGTGAGATGGCACCTGAACACATAGTGAGGTAGTGCCTGAACTAGGTGGCCTTCCTTGGGAGTCATACACAGTGAATGGGAGCCCAGGGGCACCCCCAGGCTGAGGGGCCAGGATGCTAAGCACAAGGGCAGTGGAGCCACGGCTGGTTCCCATGGAAGGTGGGAGCGGAGGAGAGCCCCGTAGCAGGCCTAGCTGTCTGAGTGGAGGCACCCGCAGCATGCAGGTCCCTAGACCACACCAAGTGTCCCCTGGGGCCCATGGTCTGCATGGCGGGGAGGCCACAGACTCCTCCATCCTCAGAATGCACCAACTAAGTTCCGGGCACAAGATGAGCACCAAATATCAGCAGACAGATCCCTAAGCATCTGCCTGGCATCCCTCCTCACTTGCCTTAATCACCCAGGCTCAACCCCAAGAGGCCATGAGCTTAGCTCAGCTTGGAGGCTACATCCAGGTCAGTGTGTGGGCAGCAGACAGAGGAGGGGGCACAGCGAATGCACGGGCAAGAGGGATCATTGGGCAGGGTGTGGAGTCGATGCTCTGTGACTTTGAGGGCCCTACTTGCTCTGGCTGTTTCTCCTGGAAGGCTGAGCACTGCTGGCTCTGGCCTCCTTGCTCCATGATCCTGAGAACAAGCTCTCAGGGATGAGCCAGATGGCAGGTACTTGTGTTTTGTGTGAATTTAGATCAGAGACTCATAAGTCACAGCAGCTGATCAGCCCTTAAAGAGGCAGCCCAGCCCCGCATTCAACAGAGGAAGAAACTGAGGCCCAGAGAGGTGATATTCATGCCCAAAGTCACCCAGCCAGTGGGCAGGGGAGCAAGGGTTTGACTCCAACTCTGGGGCCTAGACTCTGCACTTCCCTGCCTCTCTCCCTGGGAGGGCTGTTTGTGCCCTAAACCGCCAGGTCCTGGAAGGCCTCTTTTGTGACGACAGTACTTTAAGGCAGGATGGCGCAGTGTTTAAGAGCACAGGCTGCAGAGACCAACCTCCTGGATTCAAATCCAGGGATTGACATTAGCTGTGCCATCGTGGGCACATTTTCAAATCTCTCTGCTTCAATTTCTCATAGAGAAAATGGGTATGATAATAGCACTTACCACCCAGGGTTGCTGGAAAGATTAAATCGACAAATCCCTGGACTGGGAGCAGCCTCTTTTGTTGACACCTGTGTCTCACTGCACAGTTGATACCGTCCCTCTGCTCCCTGCCTGTAGTCAAATCAGCCTGTGGTCTGATGGTGGGTTATCAGTGAGGAGGCTGGAGAAGCCTGGGCTGGCTGCAAGATCTCCCTCTGTCCTGGGGTTTCTTTCATTGGTGATGAAACAGCCAATCCAATGGTTGGCTCTGTGGAGGTACCCCAGGAGGCAGGGGGGTAGGTGGCTGCCTGCCTAATGCCACTCAGAGGACCAGCAAGGACTTCCATGCCCCTGTGCATAGGAGTACCCTAGGCACAGGGAGGACCTCAGCTACCACCTCTTCCCTGACGCTGGTTCACTGTCAGGCAGGGTTGGTGAAGCTGTGATCTGCCCGGAGGAGAAGAGGGGAAGGTACAGGGAGACACCTAAGCAGCCCCTTCCCTCTCTCCTAGGGCTGAAGCGAGGGCCCATCTTAGCCTCTGTGAGCCTCTGAGGGTTCCTTCTGCCCTGCTCCTCTCTGGACAAACAGCAGCAGAAGAGGTGAGTGCCCAGGGATCCTGCTGCTTTCTCAGCTCATGCATGGGGTCTAACAAGCCCTGGGTCCCCATCTGATATGAAATCCTCCCCAACCCCTGTGCAGGAAATGGAGGACACAGCTCTGGCCTGACGCTTGGGGGCAGATGGGGCCGCTGTGGACCTGACCAGGTACTCCCAGAGACAAAGAAGTGGTACAGAGTGGGAGGGATGCGGGGTGGTGGGGAGACCCCCAGACACACAGTGGGTATCAGTTTACTTGTCTGAATGCTGTCTGATAAACCACCATCCTCTTCAACATCTCCTGTGGCTGCCAGAGGAAAAAAAAAAGTTCCACACTGGATGTTACCAATAGGTCTTGTCTGCCCCCTGGTGCCAGGCCTCGGGCCTGCCAGCCTGGGGCTGCCCTGCCAATGTCCTCCCCAAGCAGACAGTCTGGCTTATGTTAAGGGCCTGCTCAATGCCCAAAGATGCTACCCAGTTGTCGTCAAGCAGACACCACCCCTTGACATTAGCCAGAGACCATGACATGGACACATCCGCAGGCTGTCCCAGGAGCAAAAACTTAGCTCTGTGGGGAGCTGACAGGGCAGCTAAGGCCCAAAATAAATATCTCAGCTGTCCTGCCTTGACATTTGGATAGAGTTTCTTTGAAAGGGAAGTTAAAATTTTGACATGACTATCTTCTCACTGTGCATGGGAGGCCAGCCAGTGGTCGGCACCTCTGGGAGGTGCACACGAATCCCAGCTCCCTTAGCTGTCAGTAACTGAGGCTGGTGGACATTTCCCACTTCCCCAGGACCACACCTCAGACTCCCAGTCCCAGTGAGAGGTAAGAAGTAAGTTGGAGAAGGGGAGTGAACCTGCTCTGGCCAGTTCTCCATCCGAGGGTGTTTCTTGCCAGGCCATAACAGGCCTTAGGGCAGGGGCCAGGGCACCTGGAATCTCTGTAGGTTTTGGTAAGATGGCAACGAGGGTAAGAGTGTGGACTTTGGAGCATGAAAGGCATGAGGGTAAGTATTAAGTCCAGGCTCTGCCTGGGGACCTGGTGCCCCTCTGGTAACCTCTCTAAACTCCCTTTCCTCGAGTGTTAAACAGGATGACCACAGGAACCATCTCACAGTTCTGCTGTGAGAATTAATTGAGGCCATGCAGAGCCTGGCACATAGTAGGCTCTTCACAGGTCTTAGCGAATATTATTACTTTTAGACAGAGCTCCAGGCTGTTCAATCAAGTGGGAAACAGAAATTCCATTGGTCATGTCAACATCCACTTACACCCATGTGGCCTCATCTCTTGGCCAATAAGAAGGTTAAGAGATGGCATCTGTGATATGCAGTTTTGTCCCACCTCACTTGCCCTCCACTCCAGAGACAGCAGAGCCCAGGAGAGGTAGCCCTGGTCTGCTCCTCTAGAGACAACCTGGAGGGGACCCAAGGGGCTTACCAGAACTTCAGATTTCACAGCTGGCCTGTAGATGAAATTGGGCTCCTGGTGGACCATGACAGGTTTGGAGATGGTGGACACGCCAGGGCCTCGTGGAGGCTGTGGGCTTGGGCAAAATGTCTACAGGAGTTAGTTAAACAGGGACCCAGGTGAGGTCATGGTGGGGTGGCCAAGGCCAGCCATGCTACTTCTACACACATGCAAATCTACACCCATGCACATGCGAAGCCAGCCTGGTTCATTCAACCTGCTGGAGGTCCTGGGGCTGTGATCTTCGCAGAGAGATGAGAAGTCCATTGGCCACAGTGTGGGCTGAGACCACAGAAACTACTGAGTGGCTCTAAGAAATCAGATGCTTGAGCTAGAGCCTGGCTTGGGGTTGCCTACAGCCAGTGTCACCCAGGAGACACACTTTCAGACCCCTCTCTCAGTGGTCATGGGTGCTATCCAGTGTCCCTTGTCTTTAAGCTGTCTCTTTGGCCACAGCTCCAGTCCCTGGACCACAGTGTGAAGCATCTGCTGTTCCTAGTGGGTAGGCACATAGTCTCTAGAGGCCATGGGGTGAGGACCAGTAAGAGTGGCATCCAGGGGAGCTGATGCAACCTGTCTGCTTGGCTGTAACCCACTTGATCTCCTTGGGCAATATGTATCAAATCAGTTCACAACCCTGCCCCAAGCCCTCCCAAGAGTCCCCATCCACTACTGAGCTCATTGGCCTGACCCCCAAGGCCTTTCATGAGCTTCTCTATCTTCCTTTTCAGCCTCATCTCTCACTCCTCGCCACCCTCCTCACACTGCCTAGCTTTAACCTCAAAAAAATGCCAGGCTTTCTTGCCTTGAGGCCTTTACACGTGCTCTTTCCTTCTTCTGCTTTACCTCCCAGGTCTTAGGTTGGGCATCACTGCCTTCTGGAAGCCTCTCTTGAGCTTTCCTCTCCTCCACCCCTCTTCCTTATTATAGCACCTGCGCTTCCTCCATCTCCACCCTGATGGTGTGGTGGGTGCCTACTTTTCTTTGTTCCCCACCAGACTGTCTTGAGAAGGGAGACTGCAGCTGTCTATCTAGCAGGGGCTCCCAGTGCCCTGCATAGTGCCTTGGCATATAGTAGGTGCTCAATAAGCATGTGTTGAATGAATAAATGAATGATTAAATAGTATGGTGAGCACATGGGACAGTGCCTGTGGATAGATGTGGCCCTGAAAACCCCCCTATGGCAGGTGCTGGTGTGGCAGGCACAAGTGTCAAGCCAACACAGGCGTTTGTTTCCATGACTTGGGGCCTGCTGGTGGCTGGGCCGACTGTGTGGGCGTGTGGTCACTCACACTTCCTGCTGCAGCACTGATGACACCTTGCCAGGGGCATGCAGGGAGGAAGAGGGTGGGTGGTACAAGGGTGAGAGGTGGGCCAGATGAAGCCAACCAAACAACAACCCCCTGGCCTTTGAGGCTGGGACAACCCTGGCTTTGATGTCGCTTACGACATTTACGGTCCAGTTCTTCAGAGGCTCCTTATGTTGGGGGCTTTTTGCCTTCCCTGGGCTCTGATCAGGAACTAACAGTGGGAACTTCATGATGACTTGAAGAATCTGAGAAATCTGAACTCCGTCTTGAATCTTGACCCTGACTCAAAGTTTTGCTGAGATTAACTGAGATTGCTAAGATCCCAGGTTTGTAGCTTCATCCAAATTTTCTTGTACTCTGGACTATCAATAACCATAGTTAATGTCTACTGAACATGCATGATGTGCCTGCCTCTCTTGCCATTCTTAACTTAGAATGTGTTCATATATTAACTTATTTGATTCGAATAGGTAGCTGCCATCAACATTCCTATTTTTGGACAGGGATGCCCAGGCTCAGATAGATGAAGTAGCATGTGTTCAAAGTCATCTAGCTAGTAAGTGGCAGAGCCAGGATTCAAACCCAGGCATTCCGACTCCCTGCTACTCCAACTTGCCATATTTATGTTCCCTGCACTTACAATGCCCTTACTCCCATCCTCCACGTGTTGCCACCCCTCAAGGCTCAGCTCGTAAGCCCTCTACTCCACAGAGGTGTCTTCAACCTTCAGTTAGAATGAATCCCTCCCATAGCGCATGGCTTATGCATATTTTATAGCAGAAGCTTGCCTGGGCAGCAGCTCATCCTTCAGATGGCAAAGTCCGGGAAAGCACAGGCATGTCAATCTCCTCCATATCCTCTTCAGCACTGCTCCCCTCTTCCCCTCACAGAGAGACGCCCCAGGCAGGTACTTAATCAATGTGGAATCAAATTTGTTGAGGAAAAGCTACTGCTCATCTTGATGGAGGCCACTTACAGAGAAAAACGTGCAAGGCTAACTCAGCCCTAGAAACCAGCTCCTGGCTGGGCTCTGGGGGAAGATGTCCCCAGAACAGGCAGATTTCTTCCTATCGAAGCTGCAGGGCTCACAATCTCAACCAGAGGTCTGGAAAGGGTCCCTCTGAGAGTCTCCCACTGGGAGCTGCAGACTTGCTGGCATCTGGCACTTTCTTCACTCCCACCTTCCTTGTAAGCTCTCCTGAGTGCTCTGAGATGCTTGTCCTGCTCTCCATGCAGGAACTCAAATCCATGCAGGGACTGTTAACAAAAGCCACTGGTCAGGTGCTATTGACTATGCCCTCCCTCAGCAACCCCTGCTACCATCAGCTGACATGAGATGCTTTTACACTGACTCAAGCCTGGCCTCATGGCTACGGGAGCGGAATAATATTTTGTTTTTCCCTTCATGGGATCCAAGCTCCGTGTCTTCCTTAGAGATTGCATGTTTCAAAATAGTCTTTGGATTATGAATAATTAATAAGAAATATGTCTTTTTCAGAAAGACACTGTTCATCTTCCTAACATCCAAGAAAAACATTCCTATTCTTTTAATAGTAAATTATTTCTAGGAACTCTCTCTTCGTTTTTTCTATAGCGGGAAATTGGCCAGAAATTTCTGGGTGTTACACTTCAAGCCAGTGCAGTTGGCCAGTACCGTAGAAAACAGCACTGGAGTGTCCTAACACTGCATTTGATGGTATAGCGTTACCTGTGCCCTGCTTCCTCCTCCCCTCCCTTTTCTCCTGCTAGATCAGGAGTCATTTCCCATATTCAAGGCTTTCTGGGATACTATCAGGAAATGACTGGATGTGACAGAGTGCTGGCTATTCATTAACATAGCCTTCCAAGTCCTGCATTGAAAGTTACCAGCCTACACTAGCAAAGAAGAGCCAAGAGAGAGCAATGAATATCAAATGGACACACTGTTGCTTACCCCAAAGGTCCCAGGCCATTCATCATACAATATAGCACTTCAAAATCAGTGGGAACCATATACATGCAGGATGTCCACACATGCACACGGAGGGGACATTCCTGGAAAATGGGGTGAGATGATGTTCCTTTCTGTCTCCACTCCCAGGAGCAGTGGAGGACATGGGAAACAGCAGTTCTCCCCACTCTTCCTACTTCCAAACATAGCATGCAGAACAGGAAGAGTACCTTTGGGGTGGGTGGGAAGCTCCGTTCAGGGACAGGGGAGTTGGAGGGCTTCCCACTGTGGTTCTTTGCCTCCCAGTCCTCCACTGGATTGCCTGTGTCCCCAGTGCGGAAGGGGTGGTTGCCCAGTGCTTCTTCCAGTGCCGAGGGCAGTGGGCGGGTGGGAGTGAGGTCTTGGGTGGGAATGGATGGAGGGGGAGGGATGGGAATGGGGGGTGGAGTGCGCTGCACCCATGGGGAAGATGAGGCGCTCACATGGCCAGATGAGGGAAGGACAGGAGGCGCCGGGACCTTGTGGGGTGGGTTGGAGGGTGGAGGGTGGGGCATCACAGGCAAGGCAGAGGGAGTCTTGGGGGGATAGTAGAACATGTCCAAAGGGATGTCGTCCAGGTCAGTGGTGTGCAGGTGCAGTCCGCCTGCGAAGCGTCTCAAGGGTGGGGCCAGGGGAGACACAGAAGGCAGAGGAGGTGGGGGCCCTGTGGTCATCTGGGGGGATTGTAAGGAAGTTCTGTAATTGTGACTCTGATTAGCGCTCCACTTCACAATACATCGAGCACTATGCTCTTCTACTCTGTTTCTCTTGCTACTGGAGACCCACTACCCTTAAACCAGAACAATGGGGTGCCAGTCCTCTGCCACCTGGATGCCCAGCTGAGCCCATACTAGGCTGCTGGTAGAGAGTACCCAAATGCAGGAGAGCCCCAAGTTATGCCATTTGTGGATGGTAAGGTGTTCACATAGTTCATCCTCTAAACTGGAATGCCCTTGAGAGTGTAAGGGGGACTGTTAGTCATGATGCCAGGACAACAGGCCTAACTGGGATGATCTCAGATGAGCTGGGATTTAGTATCACTCTGGGAGCATACTCAGAAATACAGACATATCTCTCCTCCCCAAGAGGGGAGGGGGCTGGTAGGGGTGGGCCTGGACAGTGGATGGGCACCTGTGAGGCTAGTGACATTTGCTAGTTGCCATCTCACCTCCCACTGTCCCCCAGTGGATCATTCTGAAGGCAGCAGGAGGGTCTGTGTGGAAAGAAGGGCTCTGTTACCTCTGAAATCTCATTATCAGCAGAGGAAATCTGCTCGAGGCGCGTTTGACAGAGCCTCTCCACCCAATATTGAATCTTTTCCGATTCTTCAAGGTCTTCCCGCTCTGTCTCAGACACCTGGGACCCAGGATTGGCGCAGAAAGGAGAGGACAAAGGGCACATTTGAATAACATGTGGACAGAAATAGCATGAAAGCACTCCTTTAAAGACTCCAGAGTACCGTGAGGTACATCAGCTATCTAGAAAGAGACCTGGGCCTGTTCCAACTGGCCCTCAAGGAGGTGGCAGCAAGGGAGAAGAGAGTGGCGGAGTGTCAAGTTCACTAAGCAGAACTTGTAGGCAAAATCAGAAAAGGGGCTTATGTATTGTGAGGGATTAGCTGGATCCCAGATCCCCATGAACCCTGAGGCTCTTATGATTTTCCAAGAATGGTGTTTTTTAGCCTCCCCCAGCACATTCCAAGAGTTTAACTTGACTCTTTTTTTTCCTGCTCCATTCTGCCTTGCCCTCAGAAGCACAATCTTATTTTTAATTTTGTAGCTAATTTGTTCATAATGTCAGACCTAATGCATTTCACATTTTCCAGGACTTCTCTGGTTTTATAATCTAATCAAATTGGCATTCTGATTCATGGATGCGTTAAAGAGAAGCAGAAACAATGATACCTCCTACAGCTGGGGAGTTAAGGTTACCCATCTCACCTAGCATAGGAATTATTCATGGTGGAAGGTTGCTTTGGACATGTCTTCAGGGGAACAGCCTCAGATATATTCCCAGGATGATGAGGTCGAGCCTCAGACACACCCTATGTTGATGGGAGCAGCCTTAGACTCATAGCCTGATTAACTGGGAGATAGCCTCAGACCTACCACCTGCATAAAGGGGTTAGTCTCAGACCCATATTCTCAGAGCCAAGCTAAGTTGGGTGGGGGGGTCTTGTCTTACAATAACCTGGGAAGGGAGGCCAGAATGATTCAGATTTGTAGACAGGTCAGTGGAAGCATAACTTCAAAGCTACAAGCAAGGCAGAAGGGTTAGCCTCAGACCATACTCTGAGTAGCCTCAGAGCCATACCTAAGATGGAGAGGCCTAGCCTTTGACTCTGGTGGGGTAAAGTGAAGAGGACAGACTCAAGCCTCTAAGCCAGGTGTATCAAGGGCTAACCTGAGACCTACCATCTGGTCAGAAAGGCTAGCCTCAGACTCACACCTCCCGAGCAAGGAGGCTGATTTCAATTCCTAAGCCAGGAGCTAACCTCAGATGGCCCTGAGCAGGTGGCATGATCTCTCTCTCCAGGCTGGGGAGCAGGGAAGGGCTCACTCCACCCTTGTACGCCATTTGGGGAGAACAACTCCAGCTGGTCCTCTGGGAGCACGTGGGAAACGACCACATTGTGTCCTAGGGATGCTTGCCTGGCCTGCAGGCAGGACACGTACCTCCTGGGCCAGCCGGTTGATCTTTAGCTGCTTTTCTTTCTCCAGCATTTCCTCTTTCTCTTTGTAAAGCTTTTGCTCAAACTCCAGTTCTTTCTTATTCTTTCTCAAGTCCTGCAGGCTGTCATACTTGGCTTTCTTCTTATCTTTTCCTTTCTGAGTAGATGTGGCATTGTTTATATGACAAAGATTACAAATAGTGTCGACAGCACGGCACACAGGGCATCCAGTCCTCAGATAACACAGCCATCCCATGGTGAGCCCCTCCCCCAGCTCTGTCTCACCACACTGGACATCAGACCTCAGGTTTAGGACAGGAAGGCCACTGTTACCTACTGCAGAGTGGGAGACACATTCTCTTTACCAGCCAGAAAGACTGGCTTATTAGTTCACTAACTAGCTTGTGGCCTTGGCTAAGTTCCTTAACCTCTCTGGGCCTGATTTGCCTCATCTCCAAAATGGTAAAAATACCTCCCCCACAAGCTTGCCACCCAGTGCCAATGAAATAGCATCTATGAAATAACTTTGTAAAAGTTTTGTATAAATAAAAATATAAAATAAAAATAAATAAGTGCTATATAAATAAAGGGCATTGTGTTGATTTTCCAGTATCTGGCACATGCCTTTTGCATCATCTCATGTTCAGATTCACAGATGCATCCTGGGAGATTCCAGAGAAAATCTGGAAGGGCTGGCAAGCCTCATCTGTAGAGGTCCTATCCTAAGCTAGAGGTGGTGGGAGTCACACTCAGACCGGGAGGCTCAGAGCCGGGGACATCAGATTTTACCCGCATGTTTAAACTCTGAACTGTTTCACCCTGGAGAGTCTAGACCCACAGTTTCCTCTGAACTGGGCCCCTCTACTGAGGGCTAGCTGGAAACTGAAGGACTGGGAGGCAGGGGATGGAGAGAATGGCTTAACTGCTTTATACTCACCATCAGGGTTCTAGAGGATTTGGGGAGGGACATGAAAGGCAAATAGACTCCTTATTTTTCCTGTAGGAATTAGATCCACCGAGCCTGCATTCCTGGCTGCTTCTCTCATGGGGTTGCAGGGAAGCCAGGGACTAAGGCAGGAAGAGAATGATCATTTATGAACTGCCTATGTGCCAAGGGATTTACACCAATGATCTCCTATGTAGGTTTATCCTCATTCTTTGGTGAAGGAGCTGAGGCTCAGAGAGGTAAAGTCCCTTGATCAATGTCAGACATCTTGTAAGTGATGGTGCCAGGATTTGGACCCGAGTCTTCGAGGCCCCAGTTTTTCTATGGTGCCCTGATGAGCTGGGGGCAAGGGAAACACGGCAGAAGGGAGGGTCAGCCCCCATCATGCACAGTGTGGAGGACACAGCGAACACTCAGGAGAGGGGCAGCAGAGACAGCCCACACCCTGGGCAATTTCTGGGGCAAAGAGGAAACCCCCTGTTCACTGAGCTCACTCACGCCCCCAACGAGCCTTCTGGGGATCTGCTCTTGAATTTCCTGAATCATCGTAGCCTCCAAGGCCAGGAATGAGGAACTGAGCTCCCTAGCAATGGACACACAACATTCGTCCACACCTGGAGGGACTTGGTGGGCCATTATGGACCTCTGAGGACTCTTCCTAGCTCCTCTTCTAAAGACACACACCTCCGTGCACTGCTAATGTGCTCTGGAAATGGTCACCTCTGGGACCCACCTCCAGAGCAGTGTATGAGACTCTCGAGAAAATGGTTCTCACTGCTTCAGAGTGCTGTTTGGTTCCTTGCCTACCTTGTTCACTAGACTCAGTTGACAGATGAATCCCTGCCATCGTAGTAGAGATTCAGACAGCAATTTCCCAAGAGAAGACAGAAACATGGCCTAATGGTAGCTTGCTAGAGTAAGAGCCTGGCCTCCTCCAGGACCACCATGAGGAGAATGGCCATTCTGTTGCTTTTAAAAAAGAAAACTACCAGTGCTAAGATTATAGAGTCAGGGCTTCTGGGCGGGGTAGTAGTCAGTTTCTGTCTCATGCCCAAGAAAGTCACATCTGTACAGATGCAGAGGGCAGGTTGCCCCATGGCATTTCCCACTGATCTCAGACTAACCCCACACAGGTTACTTAGCTGTGTGTGAATCTGCCTTCCCTGCCAGATGGTGGGCTTCTGCAAGTAGGGCTGGTCTGTATGAGTGACTTAAGCAATTCTGATGAAAGGGCTTAGTCAGAGTCATGAATGCTTCAGGCCCTGGCATAAATTCTGTGGGGCTAAAGGCCTGGGAATCTTGAGCCCTAGAGGGATTTACTGCCAAGGTGGAAATAGAAGACATTGAATTTTTATATTATTATTATTATTTTCTTGAAACAGGGTCCCACTCTGTCACCCAGGCTGGAGTGCAGTGGTGCAATCTTGGCTCACTGCAGCCTCCACCTCCAGGGTTCAAGTGATTCTCCTGCCTCAGCCTCCCGAGTAGCTGGGACTACAGGCATGTGCCACCACACCTGGCTAATTTTTAAATTTTTAACAGAGACAGGGTTTCACCCTGTTGGCCAGGCTGGTCTTGAACTCCCAACCTCAGGTGATTCACCTGTCTCAGCCTCCCACAGTGCTGGGATTACAGGCATGAGCTGAATCTTTCTATTCTTTAATAAGGGGAATTTATGCACAGATGATCATGGCCATAGATGCCCACTTGCATTTCCTGGGGACTTGGCATTCCAGCTGCTGGGAGACAAAGAGTCTCTCATGGCTCTAGAAAAAATGATGATGGGTTTTCAGAGCCAGGACGAGGGGCATGGTTCTGTTGTCCTTTCAGCTGTCAGTAACATCCATGGCCTGTCAGTTACATCCATGGCCCGTCAGTTACAACATTCCTTTTGGTCCAGACTGAGAGGGGAGGCAGATGGGGCGACTGTGCTATTGATTTTACCCAGAAGCAATTTTTCTTTTTTTTTGGAAGTGAAAATGAAAACCAAAATGCCAGCTGTTTCTGGAATAAGTAGATTGAGGAATAGGGGAAAGGCAGCCCTAATTCTTTATCAACAGCACTTTCAAGGACATGATTTCTGATGGGAGGTGGTATATGGAGAAGATTCTAGTTCTTTTACATTTACATGTTATTAGTGTCTGAAAAAGATTTGACATATCTGTCTCCTTTATTATTTTTTTCGAGTAAAATTCTATGTGTGCATGTGTGTGTGTGTACGTGTGTGTGTGTTTTGTCCTCTCTAGCTGAGTTCTAGTAGAGGTAGTATATAGAGAAGAATTAGAAATCTAACCCAATGAGGCATCCTAAGCCACCAAAGTCAGCCTGTCAAGTGAAACAGATAGTCTTATGAGACCAAGGCCTTTCTGAGACCAGGACAATGTGGGAAGGAATTCCCTGAGGAACTCTGTTCCAAGTTTATTCACTGCTGTACAAATCATGATCTATTTTCCTAGATACAGGCATTTACCTCTGTCAGGAAAAATATTACTGTTTGTTATTTTAATAGCAATGTGCTGGAGGAAGGGGGTAGATTTTCCTGGCACAGTTAATATTCCCATTTCATAGGCAGGGAGAAGTTATATATCCTCAAGGTCACTCAGCTGCCAGTGCTCTGGTTTCTGGGGGACTGACATCTTGCCAGAAAGCGCTGGTCAAGTGATAACATCCAGTTTAGCTCACCCAGATTTATGCTGTTGCCTGACTTCCAAATACCAAGTCATCTCGAATGTCCAATTACAGACATTAACAGCAATGTTTTCACAATCAAATGTCAATGTGATTTAGAAAGACAAGGACAAGAGGGTTTTACAAGGCCTGGAGATATTGTAATAAGATTTAGAGAGAAAATTAAAGGTCCTAGAGATTGGAAAAATGCATTATCCTGGGCACATGCAGAGATATTCCTAGGAGAGGGCTGTGCTTGGAGTGGGTCTCCGTCCTGACCTGAGGCAGCAAATCTCCACCTCGTCAGCCAGGCTGCATCTGGCACAGCCGGTCTCATAACATGCACTAGGTACACCCACCCTGATAATTCGCTCTGTCTGACCCCAAGCTGCTGGCCTTGGTCTCTAGTTCTACTGACAGAGAAACAAGGAGAAGCTTCCTGCCCCTTTCCTGTGCCCATCAGGGCTGGCGCTGATGCACACAGTGCCAGATGGTACTTGGGTAGGTCTCACACCATGGATCCTTCTCCCGATGTTGCCTTTGCAATGGCACCCTGCCATTTGATGTCAGCCTGACACAGAGATGCAGATGGGGTTAGCCTTCCAAGTGAACAGGCCAAGTCACACCATTTAGTGTTGACAGGACAAGGAATGTTTGGGAAAAGCCAAAACCCACAGCAAACTCAGCAGCACACCAGCATAGCACCCAACCCTGTCCTACCTTCCGGATGGTTGGGAATTTGCCATCGTAACGATAAAACCACCCAAAAGCTATAAGAACACAGATAACAAAATGATGAGACACAGTTCAGCTCAGCCAGAGCATCCATGGGCAGCAGATGGAAGCTGGGTTCCCAAGCAATGCATGGCTTTGTGAGATGAACAGCATTGGCCGATCCGACAGCAAAACTGCACCCTTTGTCCAACTGCTTGCCTGGCCTCGAATCGGTTGCAGAACAGGCCTAAGACCACCTGAGAAAAGCCCCAGTTCCCAGGCCCTGGGTCACTCTCAAATGCCTCTGCCCAGGACACTGGCTTCAGAAGTCAGGGCCAGAACATCAAAGAGAAAACCCCTTGTGGAAGGACAAGCTTTTCCAAATCACAGTCTTCACATACAAAGCCTTGTTGAAAGAGAACAAGGCCTTTTCTAACCCATGTCTGGTCCCTCCATACAAGAAATGGCTCAAGACAAAAGGGAGCCTGGGTGTCTGCCTAGAACTGTTGTTCGACACAACAAAACTGGCTTGTCTCATAGTGCAGGCCAAGTCCTCCACTTTCAACATTGAAAGAGAAGGCAGTGGCTGGGACAGCTCTGGGAAGGTCAGCTCCAGCAGAAGTGGGCAGGAGATGTGCCCCCAGAAAACATATCCTCATCCAGGCCAGATAACAGTGCACCAGCCCCCTTCCTTCCCTAGGCCACAGCTCCACAGAGTAATAACCCCAATCTGAAGCTCCCTGGGGCCAAGAGCGATGGCTGAATTACCCACCCCGGACCAGCCTGAGTGCTGGAACAGGATGCTGAAAATCCCCTGCTGGACCAGACACTACTTCCTTAGTTGCTGGATTTGGGAGTGGTCTAGGGGGTCTTGGGGGAGGGGCTAGAGCAGCAGAGGGGGAATTTGGCAATATCTAAATATTTGAGCCAGCGGTTTCGTGGTACCGGTGTGCGACAGCTGATCTACTACCCTCGGGGTTGAGGCCTGTCCTCTACGTTTTGTGTACAGTGCTTGGGCCAAGCCAGGGCTTGGAGGAGCTGTACAGACTCTAGTGGCCCCCATACATGCTGGTCCCCTGAAGCTCGGTGTCTGCACTGTGGTCAGGAGGAGGCGGGCAGGGCAAGCAGAGCAGCCAGGCCAGGGAGCAAAGCGGGGGCGCGAACCTGCTCTCCCTGCTCGTCCGTGCCTCCATCCGGGTCATCTGTGGGCTCGAGCTCGGGCTCCACTCCCTGATCTACCGGGGAAAAGAGGAGGAAGCTGGTGAACCAAAAGGGACTTGGGAGACCAAGGGGCTGGAGAAGCTTCTCAGGAGTGTGGAGACCTGCGATCAGCTTCCTCCAGGGGAGTTGTGAGGTCAGGGGCAGGGGACAGAGTTCAGGAGCGCAGAGCAAAGGTTTTTTGCTCTGAGCTGGTGTATACAGTGCTTTCAACCTTGGTAGCTTTAGTTTATCTGTCTGTACAAAGGGCTAACAACAGGAAACTCAGATCTGAGGGCAGCGTGAGAACCATTTTGTAGGATGTTGGGCTGAAGGCTGGGAAGTGCAGTGAGGAGGATGGGAATATCTGAGAATCGCACACATTTGAGGGCAAGGGGCTGCAATGGGAGAAAGACCCTCCTGCCTCCTACTTATCACCCTTGCCTTAGAGCTCTGGGTCCCCAGGGGATGTCTGAACAGTGTGGGCAGCAGATGGAGGCTGAAGGTCCTGAGGAGGTGGGGACATCCCAAAAGGTAAAAGGGGCACCTGCAGTTGGGAAGACCTGAATTTTGACATAATGTGGAGAGAAGAGCAGACCCTCCATTCCAGTGTTTCCAGCTTGGACTCTGGCCTCCCTAGGACTCTGGAAGGTAGTGTACCAGTTTGCTTGTGAGTTGCTTTTTAATATTTTAAAAGCTTAACAGAACTTGCCCATTGGCCTATGCAAAGGCTGTTAAGTTCTTTGGCTCTTGGCTCAAATTACATTTACCCAACAGTGGAACCCTGATGCTCCCTTACTAACAAGGGCTACTTAATAAAACAATGGAACACAAATGATTATTTAAAAGTTTGTTAGGAAAATAACCTCAACTTCCAAATCATGGGGTCTCTTGTGGTGGAGGTGAGGGAGATAGTTGATGGGGCCTTGGATAGGGAGAGAAGGTTGGAGATCTCTTAAACATCTCCCTCTTTCAAGAATCCCTCAGCTACTGGATCCTTAGTCAAGGCTGGCCTCTCAACTCCCATGTAACCACCTATTGCCTAAGCTAAGGGAAGGTCTGTTAGGAGCCTCCGTGGTGGTGTCCTGGCCTTCAGGGCTTGGCAAAATGTTGGGGGTCTGCTGGATCAGCCATGGGTAGGTGGGCTGCAGCAATTTTAAGAGCCCCCTGGGGCAGGTTGGGGGGCAGTCAATTCCAGGCACATCATTAGGATGAGTGACTTTATTTTCTAGGTAAGGGATGCCCCATGTTCTTTTATTTTAAAAAACTGCAGGGCCCGGGATCAGGCGCGGTGGCTCTTGCCTGTAATTCCAGCACTTTGGGAGGCAGAGATGGGCAGATCACCTGAGGTCGGGAGTTCAAGACCAACCTGACCAACATGGTGAAACCCCCTCTCTACTAAAAATACAAAATTAGCCGGGCATGGTGGCGCATGCCTGTAGTCCCAGCTACTTGCTGAGGCAGGAGAATTGCTTGAACCTGGGAAGCAGAGGTTGCGGTGAGCTAAGATCATGCCATTGTACTCCAGCCTGGGCAACAAGAGCGAAACTCCGTCTCAAGAAAAAAAAAAAAAAAAAAGCAGGGCCCACCCCTTGCAGGCATAGACACCTGAGTCAGGTATAACCCATTGCAAACTGGGTCCCTGAGTTGAAGGGTGGTTGGGTAGGAGCTGGCTGGGGCCCAGGCCTGCTAGACCATGCTAGCCCCCAGGGAACAGGGAGTGAGGCAGGAGGTGAGCTGGTTCAGGGACCTCACTGCATTTCCTGCCTTAGATCCAAATGAGAATTAAATTGCTGGCGCATACGGAGACAGATAGAGGCAGCAGCTGTCCCAGCTCAGCAGGCAGGCGGGGGTCATCCATCCTGTGCTTTGTGGAGCTGCCTAGGATTACATTTACCTTGAGCAAAAGCAAAATTCTTCGTCTTTTTATTCAAGGAGCTTGATTTGGTTAAAAAGCACTAAATAAATAACCAGCTAGTGAAAGGGTTTTTATTTTCTTTTGTTCCTGAGAGGGTGTGTTTGCTGTGAAGCTGAGGCCCAGTTTCTTGGAAGGTACCAAATTGACTAGGATTACTTCCATGAGAAGCAATTAAAATCGATTTCTCTCCTGAAGCTCCTGTTTCACTCATAAGAGCAAATTAGCTGCCCGTCTAAAACAGGGATCATTCATTGGGAGCTTAGCTCTGGCCACATCCTCAACTGATACTGAATGTCATCGGGGAGGCCGATGAGAGGGTGCTTTGTCCTTCGGAGAGGACCAGGAGATGACACTGCCCTGCTGCCAGGAAGAAATGTGTTGGGAGCTGCTTGCCTGCACCAGGGAGGGGTGAAATGGAACCATCCAGATACCCTGCACCTCTTCCTTGGGGCAAATGGCCTGTGTTGGCAGGTTGACATTCCCATAGGTCTCAGATGTGACCTAAAGTTGGGGATGGAGCTGTTGAGACCCCATCACAGCATGCCAAATGACTGCTCCACAGCAGAGATGGGGAACCTGGGCTCTTGAGTCCAGACTTGCCCCTAGCTGGAGGTTCCCAGGTCAGCTGAGCACAATCAGCTGGAGTAAGACCTGTCCTGTGTCAACTATAAGTCAAAACAGCTGGAAGGCAGGAGTAAGGACCCAACCAGCAATCCTGGACTTGTGGTTGTCATGACCTCCGTTTTCCTCTGGCAGTGTGGGCTGCCTCTTAAAGAGGCATCTGGAAACGGGGGTTGAGAAGGTGGTCAGGGAGCAGGTGGTAGAGGCCTAGACTGAAACTGGAGGTGAGGATGTGGGACAGATGAAGAGAGGAGATGGTAAGGAGAATATGAGCTGAGGCTCCAGAATAGCACAGCCGCAGCCCACAGCTGGGTGTCTGGGAGAAGCTTCCTAGTCCTGTTCCTGCCTCCATCCTTGGAGTGGCGTGACGGTGGTCCACGTACAGGGATATAGGGGCTGGAGACACTTAGTAAGCTTCTCCCACAGTTATGAATCAACCTTGGACCATCAGAGCCCTTCTCTGATGTGAGCTTCTTCCTCTCTTTTTTGCTGCTGGCTTCACCCCAGTCCCTGTTCAGAACAAAGTAGGAGGAGGACCCGACACCCAAAACACTAGGACGGTAATCCCATGAGCTAGCCCACTTTTGCCATGGCCCTTATTCCCTCTTCAGCAGCCTGACAGCCTGCCCGCATCAGTGTTGTGTGGGACCTGGGAGCTGGGTATGTGGAGCTGGCCTGTGAACAAGCGGAGCAGACAGATCCCTCCTACCTTGATGCTGGGGCAGATGGTCTCTGGCCCACAGCTGCCCCTCCATAAAGGAACCGCAGCCCAGAGCACCAAGGGCTATCCACCTGGGGGTGGTGGTGAGGGGAGGGAGGGCCAGCATTTCTGTCTAGTCCCCTTAGCCTCTCCCCCGGCTCATGAAACTTACACTTTGGCTTGCGAAGGGGTACTGGGTGCACCTCAGCAGTGATGGTTTTAGGCAAGAGTAGCTGTTCCTTTGAGCCCCAGTCTTCTTCCCATTGCTTCTTAAACTTCTCTTCCTCCTCCACAATCCTGAAATGAGACCCCCATGCCTGTTACTGGAGTCAGAACCTTCATAGGCCCATCTCTTGCATTTCGGAGAGCCCCAACGAGCCCGGGGGAAGCCCTTGGTTCTAGCTGTGGTGAATCAAGCAAAGTCCCGGAGCTTGTATTCTAAATTGAGTGTGAACCCCACCTTGGCAATTATATGAGGCTATGTTCCAGTTACTATAATATGACAGGCTTTACTACAAATAAAGGAGGACCCACCAGGGGATAGAGAACCAGGTAAACTGGTTCTCGAGGCAGCCTCTGGCTGACCACACTCCCCCGAGCATACTAATGTTCATGCACAGACACGCGTGGGGCCGAGGTACTCACTGTTCCATCTCCTTCCGGTATCTCTCATTTTCCTCTGCTGCCTTCTGGGCAATTTCTTTTCTCCTTCTGAAACACAAATGTAGACTGGCATGTTTGGCCCTATGCAAGAGAAATGAACTCTTCCTTACTGTGAATTCTTGCTTTGAGAAAACTTCGAAATGATTTTTCTCCAGGCTTCCTTCCCAGGAGGCCTGGACAAGCTTTGGTTTTGGGGGACGTTATCTAACAAAGTCTAGGCCCTGTGCTCTTGTATGGTTTTGTCTGGCATGGCTGAGCAGAGACGCTGGGCTGTGGGAGCAGGGAAGCAGATCCACGTGAAGGCCACACTTCGTGCTCCCTCCTCCAAATACTTAGGTAATGTGACCGATGACAGGCGGGGCCTGGACTGACCCCAGGAGCAAAGCAGGGGCTCCTAGCCAGGCGGAATACTCCCAGCTAACTCTGTGATGGGGGAGATGGGGACAGCCTTTCCTCTTTCCTTTTCAAAATACATTGATTGATTGAGACAAAGTCTCACTTTGCACCCAGGAGTTCAGTGGTGCGATCTCGGCTCACTGCAACCTCTGCCTCCCAGGTTCAAATGATTCTCGTGCCTCAGCCTCCTGAGAAGCTGGGATTACAGTCGCATGCCACCATGTCCAGCTAATTTTTTTGTATTTTTAGTAGAGACACGATTTCACCATGTTGGCCAGGCTGGTCTCGAAATCCTGATCTCGAATGATCTGCCGGCCTTGACCTCCCAAAGTGCTGGGATTACAGGGTGTGAGCCACCACGTCTAGCCATGAAATACTTTTAAATGCCTAGAATGTATTTGGGTTTGGATCTTGACAGTAGTTTTTGATTTATGAATTGCTCGCCCCATTTATTCTCTTAGGTCATCATTTCAATCGTCCTGGACAGGGACGAGCTTTATCACTATAGGCAGGGCAGCCCTGTGGGGACTTGCCAGATTGCCTGGGGGTGATCCCAGCTTGGCCACGTGTGACTTTGGACACAAGTGGCTTCACTTCTCTGAGTGTCAGTCTCCACACCTGTAAAATGGGGTTAATACTCTCTACCTCTACCTCCCAGGGCTATTGTGGGAATTAAGAAACATAAACAAGGCCCTAATACAACGCCAGCCTTATAGAGGTACTTGACAAACGTTAGCTAGTAGCTAATCCTAGCTAGCTAGAGCCTACTGCTAGTAGGATGCTTATTTTCCACATTCTTGGAATCTTGGAAGTCAGGGGTCTCTGCTCAGCAAGGAGGAAGGGGCCAAGGATGGATACATTGACCCACCACCAAACTCATGTGGTCTGAGGACTGGCCTCCAGGGAGGAGGAGGAAATTAGCTGGGGACACAGCAGGCAGGACACAAGCTAGGTGGGGTTGTATGGTGGGGCAGGGCATCCAGGGCTGGCTGCACTCACTGCCGCTCCATCTCCTGCTGCTCCTGGAGGATCTTGTTGGACTCCATCGCCAGCCGCTTCTGCATGAGAAGCTCCTGCCGCTGCAGCTCACGCTGCCGCGCCTCTGCCAGCCGCTCCCGGTCTGTCATGAACAGCTCCCGGCCCTCGTGGGAGAAGAGAGGCCCTTTGCTCAGCCCCTGGGGATCCCCTGCCACACCCTTGGGGGCCGAGATGCAGGTGGTCTTCTCAGCACCATCAGGCACAGTGGCTCCCGCAATCCCTGACCCAAACTTGTTGCTGGGCAGAAGTCCTCTCCCTCCGTCTGCTCTGTCAGAGCTTCAGGGAAGGAGACCTGCCACCCTGGGAGTGTGTGGCAGAGATCAAAGCTCAGAGGGGCTGGGGATGAGGGTCAAGGGGCTCCCACCAGCTCATTCTGGACTTACAGCTCCAGCTACGATGGAGATGGTCAGGCTGCGGCTACTCTTCAGCACGTTCACAGCCTGTGGGGACAGAAGGACAGTGGATCGAGGCCTGACAGACCAGAGCAGTCCAGGCAGAGAGCACAGAAGGCCCCAGGCTTCAGGGTGGTGGGGGTGAGAAGTGGGGTGTGGAGATGACAAAGGCCAGCAGGTGAAGACCCCCACATCTCACCTCCTTGTGGTCCAGGTTAGAGAAGTCAATGCCATTCACTTCGACAATCTGGTCCCCTGTCTGGTGGGGAAGTGGAAAAAGATTAGTGTGTTTACGCTATCTGTACACTCGTTCATCTGCAGGATGGGCTCCCCCAGGGGTTCTGGGTCAGATGCTGGGTCTTCAAGTGGCTGTACCTCAGTTCCTCCTGATGAATGGAGCAGTTGGAAAGCTCTGGTGGAGCTCTGGGACGGCTTAAAGCTGACCCTGGCACTCCCCTACTTCATAACTACCTTATCAACTATCAAATATTATACCATTACTTGTTCTTTTTTTGGCTAAATTTGATGACACTTGCTTTAGAAATCACAGTTTGTAGATGCGGAAACTTTTGAGCTTCTCATTTAGCAGAGGCTGTGTTGAATCATCATAACAGAATAGCTAACATTCACTGATCACTTACGGTGTGCTTGGCACAGTTCTAGTATACGTATTAATTACTTTAACCCACACAACAACCTTGGAAGAAAGGCTTTATTATCCCCATCTTATAGGTAAGGAAACTGAAGCACAGAGACATGAAGTAACTTGTCCAAAGAAGAGGTTAAGGCTTCCTGCTTTGGGATGAGACCACCTAGGTTTGAATTCCAGTCCTACCATGCTAGGTACACGATTTCAGAAAAATCATATACTTTCTCTGGGTCTCAGTTTCCTCATATGTAAAGTGGGGATAATGGTGGCACTTAATCCTCAGCGTTCTTGTGAAGTGTAAAGGGCGTGGAACAATGTCCAATGCAAGTGGACCCTGAAGGTCCGCTCTTTGATTACCATTATGACATTCCCAAGCTCACCACCAACAACTATCAGAGCTATGGAAGGCTGCAGAAGGGTCAAATGTCCCCACTCTATGAAGCCTTCTCTGCAGGGTGGGTAGGGTTTCTCCTGATCAGTGACCGCCAAAAGAGGGCCATGTGGAAAGGCACCTGCCCCTGTCACCGCGGGATCACAGTCTGACCCAGTTTCCAGTGGGCCCCCACTGGGGCCAGCCCAGTGTCACTCACCTCCAATCCCACCTCAGCGGACAGGGAGCCAGGTTTCACGTGGCTGATGAAGATGCCAGGCTTCTGGATGGGGCCGCTGGAAATGCTGTGGGAGGTGGGAAATGTGTGCTTAGGATACAGGTCACTCATGAACTCAGGACTGAAGGCCCTCAGCTGCCTACCTCTTCAGCCTCTGTCTCCCCGTCCAGCCTGATTTCTACTGCTACCCTGGGCAACAGCCACAGAAAACTCCTTGTAATTCTTCCTACCCAATCTCTCACCTAACATACCTCATATGTTGTTTCTTTTTTCTTTCTAACGCTTTCCTGTCCATTCCTTAAGAACCAAATGCTATCCCTTCTATAAGGTTTTCAGCAGATCCTCTTTTTTAAAAAATTTATTTTTTAGAGACAGGGTCTTGCTCTGTCACCCAGGTTGGAGTGCAGTGGTGTGATCATCGCTCTCCACAGTCTCCAACTCCTGGGCTCAAGCAATCCTCCCACCTCAACCTCTTGACTAGCTGCGACTACAGGTGCACACCGCCATGCCTGGCTCAGATCCCTTATTCTATCCCAAGACCAAGCTATTTGCTCGGTTCTCAGTGCTCCTATGACATTTACGGCAGGGATGGCACATGTACTGTTATTATTCCCTCCTAGATTGGTGGCAGAAATCACTCACTGATCACAGCACTCTTTCCCACAAGCCTGGATATAGCTTTAGAATCCTTTCCAAAGCAGCACTCCAGGGAGCTCTTACTAATTGATTAGAGATGGCACCTATTTGCCATCCCGGACACAGAATGTAGTTCCATTTGAGTCCCTATCACCCTATATTATAACTGTTTATGTGGTTGGCTTCTAGATTAGGCTCTTGTCTCCCAGAAGGGAGGGACTATTTATCACTTATGCTTGGCACAAAACATGGAAAAATTTGAATGAAAGGAAAGAACAGGAATAACTCAAATAATAACAGCTAGTATTTACCAACTGCTTACTATTTAGCAGGTACTAAGCTTGGTACTTAACTTTCTCCACAATCACCCTGTGATGTGGGAATTATTATCGTCAATTTATAGAGGGAGAAACTGAGGCTCCAAGTGGTTAAGTAACTGGCCTAAGGTTCCAGAGCTCTTAAGTGGGAAAGCAGGGCTGGAATTGGGATCTGAGTAATGGTGGAACGTGCACGCTTGAGCCCCGTGTGGCCCAGTGTCTGTTTGGAATTCCCCGTCTGCCTCTTAAGGAAGCCGACAAGGTAATAAGTGATAAGAGAACTGTGACAGAGATGACCAGCTGAACAGGCTCCTTTAGCAGTGACTCAAGGACCTACAAGGTAACATGGTTCTGCCTCTAGGCCTCAATTTCTTCATCCGTAAATTGGGATCTATTAGAGATGCTCCTCGGGCCCTACAGGCCTGTTGTGAAATTCAGAGGGGAAACCAGGCACCAAGAGGTGTCATCACCAAGGCTGGGTGCGGTGCTTCATGCCTCTAATCCCAGCACTTTGGGAGGCTGAGGTGGGAGGATCACTTGAGCCCAGGAATTTGAGACCAGCCTTGGCAACATAACAAAACTCCTTCTCTACAAAAAAATTAAAAGTTAGCTGGGTGTCATGGTGTGTTTCTGTAGACCCAGCTACTCAGGAGGCTGAGGCGGGAGGATTGCTTGAGCTGGGGAGGTTGAGGCTACAGTGAGCTATGATCACGCCATTGCACTCCAGCCCAAGTAACAGAGCCAGACCCTGTCTCTAACAAAAAAATATCATCACCCATGGACAAGTCACACCCCTGGTGGGCAAGGTTTTCTCAGAAGCAGCAGTGGGGAAGAGGAGGGCAATAGGGGCCTGCTGGGGTGCCCTGGCCACGAATGACCCCAGGGCATGCCCACCACCCACCTGCAGCCAAGGCCCCGGGAGCCCACCAGGCTGATGAAGACCTTCTTCTCCTTGTTTTCCCGATTTCCAGGGGAGCCCAGGCTGCCTCGCCCCCCCTGAAAGGGAGATAGAAGCAGAATCTCTGAGTGTCCACATGCGTGCAAGCGGCCTCTTGAGCTCGTGGGATCTGCAGGGCGAGCACTGCTGAACTTACACCAGCCAGATCATCGTTCTGTCCCTAGGGATGTGTCTGCACCAGCCTGGCCTGGCTGAGGGCCACTGCCCCACAGCAGTGTGCTGGCTGCCCTGGGGGCCTGTGTGAAGTCCCTGAGAGTGCATCTCTAGAGCAAGCCCCAGCTTTAGGACTGGCCGCCCATCCTTGAAGATGACCCCACCCAAACCCTATCACAGGAGGTGTGGCCCTTACCCCAGATTCTGACACAAACTGATCCACATACTGCCACTTGAGGGGCTCATCAGGAGAGCTGATGGGAAGGGAAAATAGATGGAAGGGTGGTTAGTGAGAGATGTTTGAGGAACCAGGCCCCAAATCCAGATCCACCATGTCTAGAGCCTCCAGCCTCCACTGGCCCAGGAGCAGGGCTGGCATGGTGAGTGCTGGGCCCCAGGGCTGTACCAGGACCCCGGGCCCACAGGGAAGAGTCGGCCTGCAGAGGAGGGGTCTCTCACCTCTTCACGGGGATCAGGCCAATGTCTGTGGGAGAAAGGCACAGGGGTTAGGACAGCTACTCCACCCTCCCTCCCTCCCACTGTCATGGAGCCCTGTCCTGCTCTAGTCTCACTCACGTCTCACTTTGATGGACACAGTTTTCTTGGTTCGGATGAGGTTGATGACCTCCTCATGGGTACAGGAGGAGATGGAATATCCATTGATCCGGACGATCTCGTCCCCTACCTTGACCACAGAGAGAGGCAGGGAGCACTGGCTGGAGGGAGCATCAGGCAATGGGGCAGACTCACCACCAGATGCTCCCAGGCTGCTATCCGGAAAAGGGAAGGGTGGCCATGCCATCCCCTGGAATAAGCCTTGATCTCAACCAACTCACCCTCCATCAGCCTGGGGGATCCCAGGTTCAGGTGGCATGTCCAAGCAGTCTTGCCGCCCCATTTTACAGATGGAGAAACCAAGACAGAGGTGAGGGGCACAGCAGGTGTGCAGCAGAGCTGGGAGAATATCTCAGAACTCTCTGCACCCTCACCCTGGTGCCCCTTTCACTCCACTGGGGCACCATCAGATTCTGGATTCTATGCAAAGGGTGACCTTTCACTCAACTTTAAGCTATTCTTACCGGGACTTTGTCCCAACCCGCCCCTAGGAAGTTGGCTCCCTTTTTCTGCTAATTGCTACAACACTGTAACTGAGTCAGGGTGGGGACCTTCTGTGACTCCTGACCCAAGCTCACATCACCGACACACACACACACACACACACACACACGATTTTTTTTCCCCACCATATGGAAACTTGATGAACATTGTAACTCTGCCGTGGCCCTGACCTCTCAATTCCTATTTTGGGAGCAAGCAAAGAACAGTGGATGAGCACAGGGCTTTGGTATCAGATGTGCTGGGTTCAAATCCCTTCTTTTATTATTATTAGCTATGTGACCTTGAGCAAGTCTCTTGAACTCTCTGAACCTGTTTTCCTCATCTGTAAAATGAGGAATACCAAGGTTGCTGTGAGAATTAAGTGAACTTGTGCATGTAAAGCCAGCTAGTGCCTGGCACACAGTAAGCAGTCAATACATGAGTGTTATCGTTATCATGAGTTAGTCCTGATCCCTGAATACTCAGCTCAGCTCTCTCTTCTCAGGGCTTAGGCCACAGCGGATTGTGAGATGGGGACTCGGCCCTGGGCAGCCAGCCCTGGATACAGCGCCGTGGTGAGGTTGCCCCCTGCTGGACACTGCCGGCTCCTCCAGGCACCCTGGCCCTGGGGATCAATTCTGGAGCTGCTCATTTAATAACCACAGAGCAGGAGGGACTCTCAGATGTCAGCTGAAACTGAGGCCCAAGGAAGTGAGGTTTTGTCCAAGGTCACACAGCCAGTAGCTGCAAAACAGAGACTGGCTCCTGGAGAGGTTCCTGTCTGAGGCCAGTGCAGGTCAGCTGGGGGCTTAACTCAAAACACACATGCTCACCCTTTGGAGACTTGCTGGCATACATGAGGGACGAAAGCTGGACTCCCTGTGGACCGAGGTAGGTAGGGGCTGGGTGGACATACAGCTTCCGAGGAGTCCTCTAGGGTAACTCCTGCCTTCTACAGCACTCCCACAGAGTCACTTTCTCACTGTTCCAAGGAACATTTCCTTCCCACTCTGGGACACAGACCCCAGTCTTCTCAGGGACCTGACAGCAGTGGCCAAGGGCTCAAAATGGCACCAGAGTGGAGGCACACTAAAGAACCCTCTAGGTTTCTGGGAACATCTAATTCAAGGACAGTGGCCAGACTAACTCCTTCCACCTGTTTTTCACGATAACCCTGCAGGTCAGGAATTTGTATCTCTGTTAATCAGATGAGAAAACGGAGACTCAGAGAGGTAAAGTGACTTGCTCAAGGTTGCCCCACTAGTAAACAGTGTCGTGGGGTTTGAAGTCAAGTCTCCCTGATAGACAAGTGGCGTTTCCTAGGTGTCTGGAAGCAGAAAAGAAGGGCACCTGGCCAAGCCTGGCTGCAATTCCCTGCATCCTGCCCTCTCTGGATCCTTGCCACCTGTCAGAGCCCTCAAGTCCCACACAAAGGCAGGCATTACACTGTCCATGTTATGACAGGGACAACCAAGGCGCACAGAATAATTTTCTAGGCCTGGAATATACAGCAAGTTGTATGGTACAGGCTGCCCTGTGCAAGGCAGAGGACGTAGGTCAAGTTAGGATATTCTTGAAAAAACAAAAAACAAAAAAAACCCTCAAGTATCTCCAGCAGGGGATAAGGGCAGAGGGGTGGATCCCCAGGACTAGGTCCTGTGGGAGGGTCCAAGTCCACCACTGGGGACCCAGCCTCACGGGTCAAATCAGCACAGGTCTTTAGCCCAGCCAGGCTGTATCTGAACCTGCCCTCCCCTGCCTTCCAGCATCTTCTCCCAGCTGCCCTCAGGCATGAGATCTCCTCAGAAACATGAACCCCAGACAGCTCAATGGATGCAGCCGTTTTTCCCCAAGCTCCTCTGAGTGAAGTTCCCTGTCTTATTCCTAAAGGGAATTTGCCCAGAACCTCAGTCGGAATGATTCCCACACGGCCCCTGGCTCAGGTTGCAGGATCAACTTTCCTTCCCCTCTTGCCGTGTGTGAAACCCTGTAAAAGGCCCTTTGTGCAAGGGCCACGATGATATAACGATCTGAGGGACAGTGGCACAAAGGAGAGATGAACCCGTCAGCTAGAGAAAGGGCCGATAATTCATAAGCCTGAGAAAGAGCCAGGAAGGTAAAACTCTAGGTCTCATTAAAATACCCCAACGCCCCCAGTCATCGAGGCAGCATTGAGAACTGCTTGTCCTAGGAGAGCTTGCCCTGGAAAAAAGGCGGCCTCAGCTGACGCCAAGAGAGGAGCTCATTATGTGTTTTCTCTGGCTGGGTTTCTGAGCTGGAAAATGTGCCGCAGAGGAAAGAAATAATGAAGGGGCTGAAATTTCAGACACCACCAGCGAGCCGTGAGACAGGGATTTAGAACAAAGCAGTGTCTGTCAGCTCCCTGTTTCCACCCCCTACGCCCCAGTGTCTTGTACCATTAGCCTTTGAGCCCCTTGAAGCCCCAGCTTGGCAGCCCGGATTGGGGTGTTGATAACAAACCTGCTGGAAGCTCTTGGTGACAGTGGGAGGGCCTCCTTTATCTCAACACACAAAAACACGGCCCTGGGCTCAGGTAGGAGTGAGACCTGGAGGTCTGCCCATTTCTGCTCAGGCCCTGAGGTGTGGGGACCCCAAAGGAGAGGCACCTGGGTTGCTGAAGAGAGATTTCTGGGCTTGGCCATCAGGAGACCCAGTTTCTAATCCTGGCTTTGCCACTTACTGGTCTCTCAGCCTCTATCGATAATTCTGTAAAATGGAGAAGATCCATTCAATGCATATAGCAAGGACTGCTTGTGAGAATGTGACCTGGCACATTCCAGGCATTTCTTAAATCTCCCTCTGTCTGTTCACTTACCAGACTCACAGCATTTGTGTGCCAGGCCCTGCTATAAGCACTTTCTACTATTAATTCATTTACTCATACAACCTGACGAGGTAGACAGTACTATCAGCAACTCATTTTATAGATGAGGAAATTGAGGTACAGGGTTAAGTCCTTCCACCAAGTCACACAGCCTAATGAAGAGAAAAGCCAGAATTGAACCCGGCTAGCCCTGCTTCAGAGTCTGTGCTCTTTGGCATCACACTGCACCAGGCTTTCTTTCTCCCTGCTGGTAAAAGGCAACATGTCCAAAACTTCATGTGCCGGCGTCACTATGTTCCTCTCTTGGGGAGTAGGGGAAGTGGGGAGAAGTGCAGCGGCAGCAGCTGGAAGGAGGCAGCAGCCAGGTTCCCAGCTTCACTCAAGAAAACAGGCAATTTCCTGCGGCCTGATTTCTATGAGTCTAAGAACACCGGTCAGGATGCGCCAGCGTCTTCCTCACCCAAAGGCTCGGAAAAGTGTGTGACCACATTATGCCACACAGCCTAGTGGATGAGTGAGGGGGAGGCAGGAGGTCTGAGGCCCTCGCTCCCCCTCCCTCTGGACTCTGCTTGCTCACCTGGAGCCCGACACTGTCTGCCTGACCGCCTTTGATGAGGTGGGAGATGAAGAGCCCACAGCCAAACTCCAGGCCACCACGCACGCTCAAGCCAAGGCCTTCGGGGTGCAGACGGTCCAGACGCACCTCCTTCAGCTTCCTGCCACACAGGAGAGGTCGGTGATGGTGCAGCCTGGCTGCCAGCACTGCCCCGCCCACTAGCGAGGAACTCTGTCCATCCCAGGGTGACCTCTCCACCCCCTGCCTCCAGCCTGGTGGCTTCCGCTGCACCTGGAGCGCCGGGGGGTCAGCTGATCATATTCCACCTGGTGCTTCAGTGGGATCAGGGGCCGAATGGCATCAAACAGAGGCAGGCGGCTGGGTTCATTGATGACCAGCTTCAGGTCTCCCACGAGCACAGCCACGTCCATGGTCCTGTGGAGATGCCGGGAATGCCTGGAGCCTCACCCCTAGCCATGACCTCAGGGACCCAGGGATTCCAAGAGGAAGCCATTTCAGCCACTGGGCCCAGGCTTAGGAATAGAGGAGACCACTCCTGAAAAGCCCAGAGCCCTTCACACTGGGCCAGTGCCTGAGAAGGCTTTGTTCTCTCATAAAAATGCCCCAGGAAACCAGCCCGCTAGGGATTGTTGACCCATTTTGCAGATGAAATGAAGCCAGGATTTCAAACTCAGCATGCCTATCTCTGATGTTGGGATCTTTCCAGAGGGGAAAGCTCTGTGTGAGATGCTAAGGACTCCTCACATACTCATCTCCACTTGTATCTACTGCTAAGCTCTATCAGTTTCACCTCACCACAGTTCACGTGCCTCCTCCCTCACGCTGTTCAGACCTTCAACTCCAGCTGCCTGCCCACATACTCACTGTCATTTCATCTTTTCTCAGTGTAAGGCAGTCCCTGGCTTAAAACCCTTTGATGGCTCCTTACTGCCCAGAGGACAAAGCCCATTCTTTTCAGCATGCTCAGGGCCCTCCATGACCTGTCCCGTGGAGCTTCTCCAGGCTTGTGGCTATTTACGATCTCTGTGTCCTCCCAAGTCCTACTCCCCCAGATTACTTATCCCCATTCACACCCTTGCTTTCATGCCTCCACACTTCGGCTAATGCTGATCCCTCATTCTGGAATGCCCTTCTCTGATATTCCACCTACCCAAATCTTTTTCTTTTATTATTTTTTTGAGACAGGGTCTTGCTGTCTTGCCCAGGCTGGAGTGCAGTGATGCGATCATGGCTCACTGCAGCCTTGACCTCCTGGGTTCAGGTGATCTTCCCACCTCAGCCTCCTAAGTAGCTGGGACTACAGGCACGCACCACCATACCCAGCTAATTTTTTGTATTTTTTTGTAGAGATGGGATTTTACCATGTTGCCCAGGCTGGTCTCTAATTCCTAGGCTCAAGTAATCCTCCTGCCTCAGCTTCCCAAAGTTCTGGGATTACAAGCATGAGCCACCGTGCCTGGCCCCAAATCTTTCTTATCCTTCAAAGCCTTGCTCAAGCCTTCCTGGTCCTTTCTCTTCCCTCTCAGTTGGAAAGGAAAACTCCTTTCTTCACATTTCTGCTTTTACCTCTACTTAGCAGTTATTTGATATAATTTACATTAGAGTTCTTTGTATTTGTAGTGTATATTCATCTCCCCTCACCAGACCACAAGTTACTCAAGGAAAGAAAGAGGATCTAATTCATTTCCAGATTTTGCATAGTGCCCAGCAGTGGCAGGAGCTTATAAAGTATACAAAATGAATCAAAAAGCAAGTGGGTGATCAGAGACATCTGATGCAAGGGCTGTGGCCAGTTGGCATTTCTTGTTCTGTTCCAACAATCACTCTCTATTGAATCTATCTGGCTACTAGACAGCCTACTCCATCAGACTGTAAGCAACCTGAGAACAGAGACCAAACTGTCTTGCTCACAAGTATACCCCAGCCCCTAGTACAAAGCCAAGTACAAAGTACTTGTGTAAATAGTTGCTGAAATGAGTGAATGCTACATCCATTTGATTTCCAGGAGCAGTCAGCATCCACCCTCTGAGCTCCTCTGTCTCAGAATAACCCATCCCAGGACTCCCTGAAGACAGAGGAACCCGAGTGGTCCACAGGAGCTGGACCCAGCACACTTACTGGTGGTACATTCGCAGCACATCATAGAGATAGTCCTTCTCTGCATCATTTTCAATCAGAAAATCCACCTGGAAAATCCAATAGGAGAATCACAGTTCCAGGCTCAGCACCCTCCATAGCAGACCCCGGGGAGGAGAGGTCATCCCCAGCGGCCTCCCCAGCATCTTTTCAGGGCTGGAGTTGTGAGGAGAGGAGAGAAGCCACAGGCCAGACTGCCCCTCTGACCCCAATGCATCAGACCTATGCAGACCACCCCAACGTGGCCACGGGAGTACTGCTGCCCCTCCAGATGTGGCCAGGCACCCCTCGTCCCCAGGTGGGGCAATATGTGCACACACGGGGATGCACACACATATGTACATATGTGAATCCCCATGTGACACGACACGCTGCCATGGCAGTGCTGCTGCTCACCCCCATGGCTGTGTCATCCGTGGCCAGAAGAAGCCCACTGTCTTACCTGATGGTGGCTGTAGTGCCGGATAAATGCTTTCAGGAAGGATTTGGGCCACTCGCTCAGATAGCACATGCCACCCGCCAGAAGCCCCTTACCACCAAATTCTTCTGTAACATCAATGCCAGGGGACCTTCACTCTGTCTTGTCCTGACCTTAGCTGGGTTGCCCTGAGTTCTGTCCACTAGTCAGTTTCCTGGCCACTCCTTCCCCCTCCCCAGGCCCCTGCACAAGCCCTGCAGGGGGAGTCAGGTTACATCATTTCAACTTTGTTGACGTCAATGGCTGGGACTCTAAGGTCAGGTTCAGGAGTTGTGTCATTAGCACTTCCATCCCAGTGGGAGGCCCTGAATTCCACTCCCTGAGTTACATCAGTGTGAATCTCTACCCTGTATCTTTGGGTCTCTCTTCAGCCCCAGAATGGGTAACAGAGCAAGATGGAAGCTTGAGGGATCACTGGGTCCCTCTCTCCTCCAGCCTCCGGGCCCAGGGCCTCAGCCCTTCATAGAGAGGCTGCTGCTGGAAGTCGCATGCTCTCCACTGACTGGTCCTCAGAAGAGGGCCAGAGCAGCATTACCTCTTTCTGTGGGTATCCCAAGGGTTCTGGAAGACCAGGGCAGTCTGTCTGTCCCACCACAGACGGGACATGCTGGGCCTGGCCCTTGGGATTTCTGGCCTGAACAGGGGCTACAGAATGCAAATTTCTGGCCTGGATCTGGCAGTACTTCCTTCCCTATAAAATCAGGCTGAGCATTTCATTAAAGGTGAGAATAACTTAGGAGGCTTGACTCACAGCTTGGGTTTCAGTTGCTACAGAAGTTCAGCCCACCTGCTCCAAAAGGGCACCCTTGCTTTCTCCCTACCTCAGTGCAAGGAGTTCCCAGCTAGGGCTAGACGCGGTGGCTCACGCCTATAATCCCAGCACTTTGGAAGGCCAAGGTGGGTGGATCACCTGAGGTCAAGAGTTTGAGACCAGCCTGGCTAACATGGTGAAACCCTGTCTCTATTAACAAAAATTAGCTGGGCATGGTGGTGTGCCCCTGTTAATCCCAGCTACTTGGGAGGCCGAGGCAGGAGAATCACTTGAACTCGGGAGGCAGAGATTGCAGTGAGCCAAGATCGCGCCACTGCACTCCAGCCTGGGTGAGCGAAACTCTGTCTCAAAAAAAAAAAAAAAAAAAAAAAGGAGCTCCCGGCTAGTTGACAGGAGATAGAAGCATCTGCTTGAGTGGGTGGTACTAAATCTTAGGGTGGGAGGCTGGCCTCTCGCATGCACCACCTCTGAAAGCCCATCTCTCTACATAGCATGGATTCTCTCACCCACTCTGCTCAGGCCTGTGGGGTGGGGGTGCCTCCCTGAGACAGGCCTGGGCTGCCCACACTGGACTGTGATGGAGGAGTCTGAACACTCCTAGCAGCAGGGGCCAGAAATATCTTTATAAATTAAATCATGTCGCTTGCTTGTTCAATAGTTTCTTGTATCCCAAACCAAACCTAAATCCAAACTCCTTACCTTGACTTATCAAAGCCCAATCTCCTTTCCTACCAGTCTTCCTGGCTACAAAGGCTTCCTTTCAGTTCTTTCCACAGGCCGAATGCTCTCCAGCCTCAGGGCCTTGGCGTGTGCTGTTCCCTTTGCCTAGATTGCTTCCCCCACTTCCCTGCCTGGCTGCCTCCTTTCCAGAGAGGTCTTCCCTGCTCACCTACCCGGACAGAACCCACTCCTGCACCCCGGAGATGTTCCAATTCCATCAAAGATCGATGGCGATTTGTAATTTAAGGTTTATTTTCTCTGTGAATTGTTTTCTCTGTCTCCTTTGCTGGACAGAAAAATCCCATGAGGAGAAAGATGAGGTCTATTTTGTTATAAATTCCTCGTGCCTAACACATAGTAAGCACTCAATAAAGAAGTATTGAATGAATTTCTCTGCCTGCCTCCTGGTGTGCCCACATGGCTCAGGTGGGAGGGAGGTAACCATGGGAACAGCAGGGGAAGGGAAACGATGTTGCCCCATAATCCCCCATGCGGTGGCACCAGGAGCTTTTCATGGGCTTTATTCCATTTGTTTATCACATTGGGGCCAATATTCTCACATCATGTTGCAGTTGAGGAAACTGAGGATCAGAGACGTTAAGTCAACTCACCCAGTGTCCCACAGCTAATAAGCAGAGCCGGGATGTGAACCCAAGTCTGACTCCAAAGCCCATGTTCCTTCTTTCTAAACTAGTTACACAGGAGATCCTGCAAAGGGAGGGATCACTCTCCACCCAGAAATATCTTAGAGAGACTCAGAGAGAACAGCACTGCTTTGTTCTCTGACCACACCTGAATGAAAACACACACTCGCACCTCACTCTTCAGGCATTAAAAGGCACCAAGAAAGAAAACTGAGAAAGATGGAAGTTTCTCTAAAGCCTGAACGTGCAGTAACAATACCACCATTACTTAAATTACTTTTTCTTTGTAATCTTCCCTGTGGTCCAAATCAAATTACTTTTCCAATATTAAAAAATTATATAATATCCTCTCTTCTGGAATTCTGCCTAGCACCAACCCGAGGATCAGCTTTGCAGAGCCCCTGCTCTAGGGTGCTTTGTACCATTCTCCCAGTACCCTGCGCCCAGGTACATACAAAGCACCAGGCACGCAGTAGGTCGGTCTCCCACACTTCTTTCTTCCTTCCTTCCAAACATGTTCTTCATTTCCCTGTGGAACCCAGAACCATGTCATGCACACAGGTGCACGGTGCCCAGTGGCGTCTGTTGATGAAACGTGAACTCTATTTGCTCTAGTCTAGAGCCTTTTTTCTGACCTTTTGGCCCAGGCCTGGGTCACCACCTTTCCATTGGTCCTCAGCACATACATTCTGAGTCTGCCTCCCCTTAGTTCACTTCCAATTCATCACAAAATGTATATCCCAGCAATTCTATCTATCCACAATGGATGGCTTCCCTCCTCTCATGCGAACCCTGCCTTCATTTCAGATGAGGCCCAAGTCCCCTCTTCTAGAGTCCAGAGCTTCCTCACCTGCCTCCCAGCCTAAGGCTCTTCCTGTCTGGCTCACTTATCCCAGCCAGCCTCTCCCTACTGACTGTCCACTGCCTGAGGAACTTTACGTGTATTATCTTTAATCTCCTAACAACCCTCTGAGGTGAACGTTATCATCCCCATTTTACAGATGAGGAAATAGAGGCTCAGAGAAGTGACAGAACTGAGACTCCAACCTACGCCTGCTGGCTCCAAAACCTCTGCTGTTTTTCAGACTACCACATGGTATCCATTTACCAAATATAACTCCTTTGTTTTGCACTTGTCCATTACACATGTATTGAACACCTACTACGGGAAAGATACCAGTTTTCTTTCTCCGACTAGATTTAGAAAGCCTTTCCTTTTCTCGGATCCCTCTTGATATTGAGCACAGAAGCCCTAAAGGAGCTCACCATCTACAAATAGCTGTTGGGGATCCCTATTATCATCCCTGCTCCTCCGACCCCCGCCGCAGGCCCTGCCTAGATGAGCATTCGAAGACTGATGTTCCTCTGGCACTGTGCTATCGGTCTGTATGGGAGGAGGGGACAGGGAGCTTCTCCACCCTCATAATCTTCAGGCCGCTTGTCTAGGATATTGGAGGCAAAAGCTGGGTTTGGCCATGTGGTGCCCTCCAGTCTCATCCCCCAGTATTCCCCCATATGGACTGACGCTTCAGGATAGCTGCAGAGGGGAACCATGGGACATTTAACTCAGGCAAATTCAACTTTAGGTATGCACCCAGCCAAACAGGGAGAAAGAGAGTCAGAACAAATTAAATAATGCATGTTGTTCCACTTGATGAAGTCTCCTTGGGCTGTAGTGGGGATTAAATGAGTGAGTAAATGTAAAGTATGTATAACAATGCCTGGGACATTTCAAGGTCTCCAAAATGTGTGCTAGATCTTTTCCTTTCATGCCTCCAGCCATCTCTATCTTGCCCTTTGTCCAGGGGGCTCTGTCTGGGCTCCCCTCCCCTCTGGTTTCCTGCTTTGTTCAGCCATCAGGAGGTACAAGCAGGAGATGAGAGGAACGGGGAGACAGGAACTGAGGCTCTTAGTCCCTGGGGGCTGGCTGCTGGGCCACAGTTAGGCAGGTTCCTCCGCCCAAGGCTGCAGCTCCTGTCTGGGTCTCTCTGGCAGTCCTGGTTCTCACCTGTTCTGGTAACCTTCCCTCTCTTGGCCCTTTCAGGGGTGCTGGCCTCCTGGATCTGGCCCCAGGGTGCAGCCTGTTGGGTCATTTAACCCTGCCCTTTTCTGCAGAAACTCTTCATAAAGATTTCTTGGCTTCCCCCTTGGACGAGCCACCTGCTCCCTGCTGCCACCCTGGTTAACCATTAACAGTGGTGGTACTAGCAGTATTTCTTTTCTGTGGACTCCTCCTCTACCTTTAAGATTCACTTCAAATGTCACCTCTTCTTGGTCAAGTCTTTCTTTAGGTTCCCCCACAAAGCTGGCCACATCTTTCTCTGTGCACACAAACAACTCTTTGTCCCCATGGGACTCACTAAGCTGTGCTGAACTTTCTCCTTTTACCCCCCTGTCTCCCCACAAGCCTGTGTGTGGCCCAGACGCAGGCCTGGGTTGTGAGTGTGGTGGTGGAGCCAAAGAACCCCTTCCCCAACTGGGTCTGCATCACTCTGTGCCTCAGTTTCCTTATCTGTAAAATGGGCACAAACATCTCTTTTTAAAATGGGATTTAATCACTAAGAGAGACTAATAATTGTTTTTTAGTATTAATTTAATGAGTTAATAATTATGAAGAGTTTAGAACAGTGCCTGGCAAGTAGTAAGTCCTGTGTTTGTTACATAAAACCAAGTGAGAATAAGTGGATATAAATTCCATATCCACAGCAGTGGGTAGCTAGTGGCCCTCTGTAGATGTTAGTGGGATGAATAGATCCAGCCACACTTCTTCCCAGGCCTTCAGAGTGTGCATCCCAGTGGTACCAGGCTTTATTTAACTCTTGTTTTCTTATTATCCATCTTCTCTTCTCTTCTCTTCTCTTCTCTTCTCTTCTCTTCTCTTCTCTTCCTTTCTCTTTCTCTCTTTTCTTTTTCTTTTCTTTCTTTTTTTTTTTTTTTTTGAGACCAGGTCTCACTCTGTCACCCAAGCTGGAGTGCAGTGGTGTGACCACAGCTCACTGAAATCTCAGCCTCCAGACTCAATTGATTCTCCTGCTTCAGCCCCTCAAGTAGCTGGGACTACAGGTGCACAACACCACACTTAGTCAAATTTTGTATTTTTTGTAGAGATGGGGTATGGCTATGTTACCCATGCTGGTCTCAAACTCCTGGGTTCAAGTAATCCTCCCACCTCAGCCTCCCAAAATGCTGGGATTATAGGTGTGAGCCACTGCACCTGACTTCTTTTCTTTTTCTGGAACCACTTCATTGAGGTATGCCTGACATGGAAAATGCTGTATATATTTAGTGTATACAACCTGATGAGTTTGGGGATAGACGTGCACGTGTGAAAGCATCACCACCATCAAGGCCATAAACAGTGCCCTTCATCTTTTCAGAGGCTCTTGACCTGTCAGCTAGTTTGTAGTATTTTGCCCAGTGCCTGGCACAGCAATCATGCCCTGCTTCTTCTTGTTCTCCTTCCTCACTTGCTGCTCCTTCTCCTCCAAAAGTTGTGGTGCCCCAGGCTCTGTCCTGGGTCTCCTCTCCATCTGCACCATCTCTCTAAGTGAACTCATCCGTCTCAGGGGTTTAAATACCACTTACACCCCCAAGGACCTACTGATGTTTATCTCCAGGCCAGACCTACAGCCTTCTCAGTCACCTCTAGTAGGTGTCTCAAACTTACAGCATTCAAAGTGGAATGTTAGGTTTCCACCACCTCCTGCTCTGTCTCCACCAACCTGCTGCTTCTCCCCCAAATGTGAATTCACCCCTGATGCCTCTCTTTCTACACTCACAGCCAGTCCATCAGCAAAAACACGTGTCCTGAATCTGACCCATTCTCACCCGAGTCCGAGCCCCTGCCTCTGGCCTGGGGTCCTGCAGGAGCCTCCTGACTGAGGTCCCCCTTCTACTCTTGGGCCCCTCAGTGGATTCTCTACAGAGCAGCCAGAACAATTCCTTTTAAATGTAAATCATTCACACTATAAGAAAATCCCAACCTAACCATGGCCTATCAGGCCCCTATCACCCCTCTGACCCATTTCTCACCATTCTCTACAAATGATTCCTCTGGGACACGCTGTCCTACTTGCTGTTCCATACAGGCAGGCATCTGCTGGCCTCGGCGCCTTCGCACTTGCTGCTTCCACTTTGGGGAACGCTCTTCTACATGTATCCCCGTGGCTCCTCTCCTCACTTATTCCAGGTCTCTGCTCAGACGTCACCTCTTGAGAGAGGCCTTCCTGACTGCCCACCTTGTTACTTACTATCTCTCTCCCCATCTTAGTTTATTTCTTCATATAATTTATCACTACCTGGCATTACACGATACTTTTGTCGATTTCCTTTTAACTGTCTGTCCTCCCCACTAGAATGTACTGTCTAAGAGAGCAAGGGCATTATTTTGTTTTTCGATGCTTAGAGTACTGCCTGGCATATATTGAGAACTCAGTCAATATTTATTGCCTATGTGAATGAATGAATGATTAGTAAATTCCTAGAGAGTGGTGGCTGTTTCTGATCTTCTTATTCATCCCACCAGGTCGTCCAATGCCTGGCCTCAGGCAGAGTACACAGCTGTGCTCATAAATGCGTGACTGCTGAAGAGGCAATAAATACTTTTAAGCAAATGAGTAACCAAGTTCCTGCCATGTGCTGGTGCTGCGAACAGAGGAGCAGTCTCCTTTTGAAAGCTGCTTCTCTGAGGGAGAAAACAGTCTCTGACCAAGCCCTGCTCCCCCAAATCCTGGCCCAAGGTTGCTACTAGTTACTGGAAGGGCATGCAAGTGCTCCTGGCAACCTTGGGGTAACTTCACAAATCAAAAGGAGTCGATGCCTGGAGTCTGTTGGCTCACACTGGACACTCTGCAGGTATCAGTTGGAAACAGTGTGGTTACTGTGGGCCCAGAGCAGCCAGTACTTTAATTGCTAGTTAGTCTTGTCTGTCTTGTGAGGTAAGTACCACAAACTCCATCTCACAGCTGAAGAAACTAAAACTCAGGGAGAGTGGGTGGCTTGGCCAAGGTCTTCCTGACAGTAACAGGGCTAAGATATGGTCCCAGTTCTGCTAACTCCAGATAATAAACAACAGTGGACATTTGTTGAGGGCTCCCTAAGTGCTAGGGTCTGTTTAAGCTCCCCACACACATGTAGATCTCATTCAACATTCATGATAACCTTATTAGTTAAATATTGTTATCTCTTTTCACAAATAAGAGCACTGAGGCACAGAGAGATTAAGTGAGTTGCTCAAGGTCACACAGCATTTTCCATTATAACACACTACCTTAAATATTACCTCCAACAACCAAGGATTTAGATCATAAACTATTTCCTCCAAAACACTAAGAAAGGTACCCCTACAAAGCAAACAACAGCAAGCTGTAAATTTCTCCCAGCATATCTGAGTGCCTCCTCTGTATCCCCTGCTGCTTCATCCTCTCTCCCAGTTCCTGGATGATCCCCAACCTGGGAGGGGAAGGCTGTGGCTGTCTCCAAGGAAGCAAGGCACAAAGTCCAGCCTGGGCCTTGCCTAGCACATGGCGCCTGCCCTGCCGGCACACAGGGATATTAATAAGTAATGACTCTTGTGATGAGGAAGAGTAGGGCAGAGGAAACGTGGAGGTCGGAGGCCCTTTGAAGCCTATGGGACCTGGGGAAGAGGAACAGGGCAAACCCAGGGTCTGCATCAGACACCAGAGACCCAGGAGACGATTCTTGCAAAAGAGACAGAGTAGGTACCCCACAGAGTGAAGGCAGAAGACCTGACATTATTTCAGGCCAGGGGCAGGAAAGTGAAATTCAACCCTGAGTCTTGGGTTGGGGGACGGAAGGTTGAGCTCCTTCAAACTGGGTTGCCTGAAATCTACACTCACAAAATGTCCTTAGCGGCTGAAATTTCTTCCGACATGTCTCTTTGCAACGGGATGTACCAGTAAATGCTGTCTCAAGCTCCCCTTGGCATTCGCCGGCCCCTAAATTCCTACTGAACTTCCAGCTATCGCCCACCCCTGGGAGCAGGACCAGGGATGCCCAAGACCTTGTTTTCAGGAGCCTCCTGCCAGTTTGAGCTGTCCCTTTGTGCCCCTACAAAAGCTTGGCCCCAACAGGCAGCACCCAGACATGGGTAATTACCAGAGTAGGGTCTGCTTCCCACCTACACCACCAGCAATTTGAGGGCACAGACTGGGTATCACTGAGAGGATGCTCAAAACATGCTTATTAAATGAATAATTGACCCTGGGCCCCTGGCCCCAAGCCCCTGCGGCCCCTACACTGGCTGGCTCCTTGGGCTCCTATGGGCCTCTCTATGGGAAGGAAGGGGTTAAGGACCCTGACCTTCCCTACCTGAGCTCAGTCCTCAGACCAGAAAGAGGTTTGGCTTGGTCTAAAGACACTGCCCCCCTGGGATCTTTGGGAGAGCCTTGGGTCACACAGTTGTTAATAGTTACCTGCCCCTCAGGCAGGGCCTGTAGGGAGATCCAGATTCCACCCACACCCCCCTAACCCTCCGCGGCTTCATCCCCAGACTCAGAGGCATCCTAAAGCCTGGTGAAGAGGTCGGCTGGATGTCTTTGATGACCTTCTCTGGTCTCAGGGCCTCAGCAAATTCTGCATAGCTTTGTGAATTGTTCTGGAAATGCCCTGTGTAAAATCCAGCCGCTTCCAATGATGGTCCTTTCGGATCCCAGACCACCAGTGAGGCCCCTCACTGGGACAGGCCAGGGTGGACCCGGCTCTGCCTGAAGGATCTGGCTGGCCAGAGCCCAGCTCCCACGCCCTCAATACCTCCTCCCTTCCTCCCCACCGCACCCGGGTCAGCACCAGCTCCTCAGCTACTTCTCAGGCCTAAGAAAGCCCTTAGGCAGGCAGGGCTGAAATGCTTCTAACTCATGTTCTGAGGTCAAAAGGCAGAGAGAGAGACGTCTAGTTTCCCTTCTCCCAACACTCACCTCTCAGATACTGCCCCAGACCCTCTCCACATGCCTCATCAGCCCTGAGCTGGGGGCACTAGGAAGGAGAGGGTCTTGCCCACAAAGGGGGCACCTCAGAGAAGCGGCCAAGACTGGAAGGAATTCAAACCCCCGAGACGTCCCCGCCCCTGGAAGGCAGAGGGAGAAAGCTTGGCAGAAGATCGATCTGTTTAGCAGTAGTACCTGAGCCCGGAGTCCCCGTGTTCCCTCCCTCACTTTACTGGGGATCCCTGCTGCCAGTCAAACGACCCTCGGGTGTCCCAGCCCACCCAGAGTCATCAGGTGGGGCCGGAAAAGGGAGGGGCAGTGCCGGGGTGTCCACCCCTTACCCACCGCGCCCAGGACTCCGGAGTCCCAGAAGCCTGGGGCGCCCCGCAGCTCTGACCTTATGCCGGAATTCTCGGGCCACTTTTCGGTCCATGGTTGGGCCAGGTCCAGCTGTGTCGTTGAACGACCGGTTCCTTCGGGTGCCCGGCTGCCAGGAGCTGGAAGGAACCGCGACCGCGACCCGGGCAGCCGCCCTCGGAGCTGGGGACGCGGCCTGAGCGCGGAGGGGCGGGGCCGGGCCGCTGCGGGGCGGGGCCGCTGCGAGGCTGGAGTTGCCGGTGCTCAATCGTCGCCTCCCCCTGAAGCCTGGGAGCAAATGGGCCCCAGTGTGCCTATGGGCCTGTGCTGGCAGTAGCTGGGCTTCAAGCTGGTATTTCTCTTGACGTGGTACCTGATCACATGCGTTTGAGGAAGAAGATCGTGGAGATGTAGGGAGGAGGTTTGGGACTTTTTGTGATGACCGGAATAGAGAGATCCGGAAACTATTCACACGGGTGGGCAGGGGGCGGGGCAATCTAGTCCGTTTTCTCTGGATACTCCGGAGGGCTCATGGCCCTCCTGAACTGTCAGCCCTTGCTACGCCTTCACCTTCAACGTACCTTCCGTCCTAGCTTCCTCCTGCACTTTTCCACCAGGGAGAAATCAATCCTTGCTCTGTGAATTCCTTGGGGGCAGGGCCGGGTTTTACTGTGGGCCGCAGGGGTCTGAACCAGTGGGTGTGGGAATGGCCCTCTCAAGTGATTTCCCCTCCCACCTTCCCTAACACCTCCACCCCCAACAAAACAAGACGAAACAAAACCCAAACCCAACACACTCCCATATCCATCGAAGCCTGGCGGAGCCTGGCAGTGACATTTTGATCTATGGCTGACCTTCACCCAGGGCCCAGACCCTCTGGTTCATTTAATTCAATTTGGTCAACATTTGCTTAACTCCTAGGTCTGGTGCTGGGTGCAAAGACAATGATGAACCAGGCCTGGAAAGGAATGAAAGGAAAGAGGGGCTAGGAGAGGGGTGATAAAAACGTGTAAATCAGGGGCTGTTAAGTATGGGGCTTGTGCCTGAACTTAACCCAGGGAGGCACCTGCGCCCTTTGCACCCTGTCAAGCGCAGGGGCAGGGAGATGGACAGCAGCTTACATCAGGTAACCACTTACAATTGTAACTTTGGGGCACCTAAACACCACTCTGCATCCTTTTCCCCAATAGCTGAAGTTTTGCAAGCACACTATTTTTGTTTGGGCTAAATTATTGCCTAGTTTAAGATGTAAATCCCTCTTGAAGAAGAGCCTTAAAATATGATCTGTTTTCTCACCTTAGTATTAACTATTAAGTCAGTGATAAAAGGGAAAGACTTGTGGGACTTTTGAATGGTCCAGAAAAGGCCACACAAAATGCTTTACCCTCTGACTTACTTCATTGATTCTCTACATTGAAAAATAATGTCATATGGCTGTTTATTTTGTATTTAGAATCCTGGCAGAGGTGAGTGAATGTCCTTACCCAGGAGAATGCTGTTCACCTGCCACCCCAATCCTTATTTTACATTGGTCAACACCCCCACAGACTCCCTCCACCTTAAAATGCCCCCCGCTTTGTTTTGAGAATAGCATTGAGACCTGGTTCTCCTTTCCATGAATTTTTTTTTTCAAGCTTCCTTGGAGACAATCAGCTTTTGCCTATTCCTTAACCAGTGTTCCTTAAGGCTGCATCCTTAGCTCTTTCCTCTTCATCTTCCTATCTGTGCCCCTAGCTTCCTCCTGTGTGAAGATAGCTATGTGTACTTTCTTTACCACTGTATGCCTAGAACAATGCATGACATGGAATCAATGCCAAACAAATTTGTTGAGTGAATGAATGAATGAATGAATGCATCTCAAATCTATGCCCTTGCCTAGGAGTCTACTGGGGCCAATACCACCACCACCACCACCAACATCATCATCCTATGTAAGACCTGGCATTTAGTTGGTGTTCCCTAAGTGCTGATGAAGTGAACGATGTACAGGTTCTCCAGGTGCTCAGTCCCATGTTTTCACCATTTTAAAATTCCTCCTGGGCAGACAGTGGACCTTGTTCACACATATAAAGTTGTTTTGTCAAAGTTTGGCCTTGATGGTGGCAACAACATAGGAGTATGAAACACATTTATTATTCAGTCGTCATTTCCTGAGCTAGGGCAGGAGATGGTGCTGGGCATTCAGAGGACTAAGGCACGATTCATTCCTTAGAGGTGCTCAAAACTGGTCATAGGATAGGGATGTGGAGACCCAGGTGGAAGATGAGGTGGGGCGTGGTGGGACATAGGCTAGGACTCCACAGGCTCTGCTATTGACCACTGACCCCTGAGTGGCATGTCCCAGGGCCACAGCATGGCCCTCTGTAAAAGGAGAGGATAAGGTCAGACTCATATCCGCATCTTGGGTCTCTGGTATTGGGCTTCCAGGACCCAGGTAAGGGGAGCTGGAGTTTGCACAGGCTACCTCTTTGCTCCCCTAGAGAATTTAGGGCTGAATAATCTGAATCCAACCTCCCCTGGGGAGGCGTAGCCACAGGCCAAGAAGAGCAGAGGCTGGGTTATGGACAGGAGCCTAAATTATGGTAATAAGCTGGGCACTCCTGTCACTCTATAGTTCGGGGAGGAGCTGAGAGCCTGGGAGGAGGGGCTGAGGGAGCTCTGGGGCATGAGAGCAAGAGGGACCTCAGCTGCAGAGTGGAGGTGTGACCCTGCCTTGGCCCGGGGAGGCACCTCGGGACGCTGGCCCTGCGCTCAAGTCCCCCGATCCCCTCGCGTCCCTATGGGAGTCCTGGCGTCTGTGCTCTGCTGGCTGCTTTGTGTCTGGCTGCCCTGGGGTGAGCCAGCAGCCGAGTCCCTGCGGGTGCAGCGTCTCGGTGAGAGGGTTGTGGACTCAGGGAGGTTGGGGGCTCGAGGAATCAGAAACGTTAAAGGAATGAGGAATGGGCCGGGGCAGGTTGGAGAGAGGGAGGAAAGAGAGGTTTGAGGGACAGCAGAGGGACCCCCAGGAGGAGCGGTCAGGGTAGGAGGGACCCCGAAGCCAACAGAGGCAGGCCTATGACCTTGAGGGGAGAGTCTCAAGCGAGGCTGGTTGGAAGAGACTTGAGATGGGGAACTAGAGAGTGCTAGGGGCCACAGAGTGAGAGGAAAGGGGGAGATCCTGGCTGGAGAAGGGTCATCAGGAAGGGAGAGGAAGGATTTGAGAAGGCTGCAGGGAGGGAGAGTGGGGGAATGCCCAGTAGTGTGGGAGAGGATTTCTAGCAGTGCGGCCAGATGATGGGAGGCCCCAACAAAGAGAAGCACAATTTGAGTGGAGAATAATCCCCCTCCCCAGCCGCAGCACCCGCTCCGTGGGGCAGTGCAGAGCCGCAGCCAGAGCCAGCCGGGGAACCCAGGTGAGTAGGTTGAGCTGTGGCGGCCCCACCCACAGCTCTCATCTGTATTTCTGGCATCAGCCACCCCAGGGCTTTAGCACTTAAGGTGGGATAGGCCTGGGGACTGCAGGGAGGCATAATCCATCCTAGCTCGTGATCCATGCCAGACTTGTTTTCCCTCCAGCAGCAGCCACCAGGAGGTGACCCTTGCCATGGGAGACACCGTTACAGTGATGGGAGGCCAGGTAAGGGGGGTCTGGGGAGGGGGCTTCATTGGGCAGGAGCTCACGTTTGTCTGGATTTGAGGCTGGCAGGGAGCTCTGTAGATTACAGGAAGGGTCTCTGGAGTTGTTCAGAAGGGAACAAACAGGTTCCTGGTATGTGTCGGAGGTGTGCAAGTTCATAAATCCCTTCTATTCTTTTTAATCTCTTGGGGGTCTGTAGCCCACTCTTTTTTTTTTTTTTTTGGGAGGAGAGGTGGGCACCAGGGCTCTTTCAGGAGAGAGCTGAGCTCTCCCTTCTGACAGGTAAAAGTAGAAAGATGAACGTTTAGAAGTATGGAGTTCTCTTTTCCCTGACTGACCTGTGAAGGCCCTCAACCGTGTCAGAGGCCCCTCTCCATACCCTGAGCAGAGCCTCAGGAATGCAGGCAAGACGAAAACTAGGCCACCTGGTGGAAGGTGCAAGGAAGGTTTGGTTGAGAAGCAGAGCCCTGAACTCTTACCCTTTGAGCCTTTTTATTTCCTTTTTTTTTCTTGAGTCGGGGTCTTGCTTTGTGACACAGGCTGGAGTGCAGTGGCATAATCATAGCTCGCTGCAGCTTCAACTTCCTGGGTTCAAGTGGTCCTCTTGCCTCAGTTACCTGAGTAGCCAGGACTATAGGTGTGTGCCACCAGGCCTGGTTGACTTTCAGTATTTTGGGTAGAGACAGAGTCTCACTATGTTGCCCAGGCTGGTCTTGAACTCCTGGCCTCAAGTGATCCTTCTGTGTCAGCCTCCCAAAGTGCTGGGATTAGGCATGAGCCACTGAGCCCGGCCTCTGTCCTTTGAGTCTTGACCATTCCATTGCCCATCTTCCCAGGGTCCTCTGTGTTTGTGGAAGAGGCGGCAGTTTTGTTTTCTCCCTTTGGCAAACTTCTTTGGTCTCTGGATCAGGTGACTCAGGTCTACTTTCTAATCCTGGCCCACATTTGTCTCCCTCTTTCTATAACTACAGATGGACTATAAATTCCACCCACCCGCAGTTAGGTCTCCCAAAGCAACTGAGCCTCCGCTCAAGTGCCCCAGCCCCATTGGTCAGCTCTGGGGAGCCCCTTGAGCCAGCACGTTGGGGAGAATCATTTATAACAGCAATGAGTCCCAACTCCTGCCCTTTGGAAATAGACATGAAGGCCCCAAGATGGAGTGAGGGGGGATGGTTTGGGCGTGCTTCTTCTCTGATGTGGATTTCCTGGGTCTTTTACTTCTTCTTTGCCCACTCTTCAGGCCCTAACATTTAGAATCACAGTCAAATACCATTTGAGTTGGAAGGTAATGGAGTCATTTTTTTGTAGGTAGGGAAACTGAGGTGGGTGGATGACTTGTGGGGGCCCCACAATGAGCTGGTGGAGCAGTCTCCTGGCAGAGCCAGGCCGCACACACAGGACTTCAGGAATCCCTGTGTTTTAGTGGGGGAGATGACCCTTCTCCAACACTTCAGTTCCTGGCAGGCATCCTCCCGTGCTGGTTTCCAGGGTAGGCATCCCCCCTTTTCCTTGGGGAAGGGTCATAAGTGAGTGGACGAGGCAACCTGGGGAGGTTTCTCACACTGCTCCTTAGAGCAACAAGGAATTAAAATGGCCTCCCTCTAAGGTGACAGGAGTTGGGGGGTGGGGGACTGAGGCCCATGTACCAGGGATACTTCAAGGGCTCCTGTTTGGAATACCCTCTTCAAGAAGTGGGAGTGGGCCGCAGACCACTAGGCAGCCAATCTTCACTTCAGTGCTGTCCTGCTTCTACAGAGCTCAACCATTTTCTGGAGAATTCTTGT